AACATGATGGTGATGGTACCTCACGTAAGCTACCTATGAAGCTAGAAAGAACATCAGGTCAACAGAATTGTACCAGAAGAAAGCATCTATTGCCCGAACTTCATTTGAAATGAACAATACCCTTCTCCATAGAGACAACATGCAGATGAAGTGTATGGACAAATAATAATAGGCCATTCACTGAGGGCATGGAATGATCTCTACGTGTAGATTGGATAGACACATGCACGTCTGCAAGGAAAGCATTTGTTCATGGGTTAGTCCATGGGCTGATTGAGTTCACATGGACTAAGTTCATACATGCCATCTCTCCTGAGATATGTTCAGCAAAAATTTCAAAACATACGACATCATTAATTTCGTTCGCTAATCTCCGCTACTCGTCGTCTCACCTGGCTTCAGAAGATGTTACAAGAGATAGGAGAGTCTCCAGCAGGCAGCGCATCCATCTTCAGGAAGTGGAAAGAGCAAACGGCATGGTCCTTGGTTGAGGTAAATGCTACGTTCGATTTGTCCCAACCAAGATTTCAGCACTTGGTTCGTCACGATTTTCGCTTGCCAGCTAACTCCAGCTTTCCCCTGTCGGTGTCACGTCCCAGTACACAACGGAGAGGACTACTAATAAACAGTTCACGGCACTAACAGCCTTGAACACAGTACTTCTTTCACTTCGTGAATACAAGAAGACAACTGAAAATGACACAATTCTTCAGTGATCGACCTTCTCTCTCACGGAGCTAAGCAGAATGTGCGTCATCACCTGTAGTCGCCATGGAAACGGGATCAGGAAATCGGCGATATGGCAAGTTTCCCTTGCCGTACGCAAGCGAGAGATATACCATCGGAACCGATATCCAATTGTCTTTCATCTGAGCCCTACTTGAAAAATCGATGCACTTCCCCTTTAACGTTAAAGGGGAAGTTAAGGCAAAAATTAAAATTTCACCAGTTGTAGTCTTCGGGGTGCTGAGTCGAATGGTCCTGGTCCGAGGAAGCTGAGACGCTCCCTTCCTACTTGAATCCCAATCGAACTCGCGCACTTCCACCGAAACTGGGTGACTGCGCCCTACTAGATGGGGATTTGTATGCAAAATGTCACTAAAAGCGCCATTTCGTTCTTATAAAAGCATGGATGACCGCGATTGACCCATATGTTGTAGTCTTTTGGACGCTGAGTCGATTGGTTTTGGTCCTAAAAGGCTGCGATGCAGCGTTCCTCCTTTATTCCCAATCGAACATGCTTGAACAAGCGGTCACGTGCTCCTGGGTGCCCAAATCACCTGGTCACCAAGCCAGCAGGCGACAACTAACTTTCACACCAAGGTTCAACTCGAGTGACAGGACTGCACCCAAAAAAGGTCAAACAGGCTAGTAAGTTGTACCCTGCAGGCACGGTGGCCAGGTGACTGGCGTACGCAGGAGCACGTGACCGCTTGTTCAACCATGTTCGATTGGGAATAAAGGAGGAACGCTGCATCGCAGCCTTTTCGGACCAAAACCAGTCGACTCAGCGTCCAAAAGACTACAACATATGGGCCAATCGCGGTCATCCGTGCTTTTATAAGAACGAGATGGCGCTTTTAGTGACATTTTGCATACAAATCCCCACCTAGTAGGGCGCAGTCACCCAGTTTCGGTGGAAGTGCGCGAGTTCGATTGGGATTCAAGTAGGAAGGGAGCGTCTCAGCTTCCTCGGACCAGGCCAGGACCATTCGACTCAGCATCCCGAAGACTACAACTGGTGAAATTTTAATTTTTGCCTTAACTTCCCCTTTAACGCTCTCGCCGCTCGGGCAAACTTTCACCAACTTTCACGCGTCTTTTTCTCGCCCTGCGGAACACCGCGAGACCAAGGAACAGTGCCTGACAACTGATCCTGCAATTTGATCTGCTGTGTCCGGCCAGACAGGTAACTGCAGAACCAGTTGAGTGCAGTTCCCGAGATGCCTATTAAGGTGGCACTCTGCCTTCAGAGGGTCAAAAAATGAATTTTTGAAATAGGTGTCGATTATGGTCTCAAACGTTTGGCATAGGACCCAGCCGACAGCTGAGAAAATTTGAGCGAATTCCATGCACGCACTCCAGAGATATAGGCGCTCAAAGAGGTAGTGCACAACGAAACTCAATAGGGCTTGAAAGTGCTACGTCACAGCATAGCAACAATTTCAAAAATTCAAAAATTGGATCCACTTGGATCCAGTTTTTGTATGGATCCAAGCACATTTCAAGCGGTCTTACCCACAGCATGGTGATGTAGCCAGTGAAACTGACTGATTTGGCTACTGGGGGCGGGGTTACAACTGGTGGCGAAATAAAAGTCACACCTGCATGCGACATGAGTGGGTTGCTATGCACCCACATACTTAGGCAATAGCAAAGTCACACCTTAGTGGATCCAAAAGTAGAAATCTGATGTCAACTTACTACTCCCTGGCCGTTTTGACGTCATCACTTTCAAGCCCTATTGCAAATTCAAATATAAATTGCAGTATTTCATCAAAAACGTATAATATTCATAACTTCGTCCAGGTTTAGAGTACCGTTCTCAAATTTCACAGGATTTGTCCCATGGGGTTTCTGGTTAGTTTGGAGATATCTGCGCATGGCACGGACCACTCATGCAGCAGTACATCCATACGCGCATCTGACAAAATTCAAATCGAAATATTTCGTTCTGATTTGTTCGATGTTGAGGTTATTTGTGGTGTTGCGATGGGAAGGAAACAGTGTAGTGGCCGTCCTGGACGTCCAAAGAAACGGATATTTCATGGCAGGAAGCCCCGCGAGCCTGAGCCAGAGAAATGCCCTCATCCTGCGCCTGAGTTGGCAGCCGACAATCCCATAGAGAATGTATTCCCAGATTTATTTGAAAATTCGTCAGACAGTTCAAATTCCGAGTCAGACCATCACAGCACAGACGACAGCGAGTCCGCCTAAGAGAGCAGCGAATCTGAGCCAGGATCCGACACTGAGAGCCAGGATGATGAAGCAGCGACCACCGGATATCGGCTGATCGACTTGGAGTGTCTTCAGAGCCTGCTGCAAAAACTGGTGTCTCTTGTAATGCCTGTCATAGCAATGTCACCCTCAAGGAGACCAAGAGAGAAGGCCTGGCTTCCACTTTGAGTGTTGTCTGTGACAGATGTGACGCAGAGGAGACGGAGACCATGTCCAAAAAGTTCAATCGTGTTTTGGAGGTCAACAGAAGATTTGTTTTGGGCATGCGCTTGATTGGAAGGGGCCATCAAGCCATGGTGAAATTTAGTGCGGCCCTCAACATGCCTAAGCCCATGTCCCTGTCTTCCTACCATGGCCATACCACGTCTTTGGCTTTGTCTGCTGACACTGTGGCGGAGAGGAGCATGGACATCGCTGCTGCTGAGATTCGCAATCCCCCTGACGTCACTTGTGAGACAGCCGTGACATACGATGGCTCATGGATGCGCCGTGGACATGCTTCACTGTATGGATGCTTGCGTGGGGCGACACAGAACCGCAACGAGTGCTTCAATGGCTTGGTGTGGCAGATGTGCCCCAAGACCGGCTTCTGTTCTGCCAGGATCGTGCAAATGGCTATTGCCCTTGCTGCTGCATGGTTCAATGACGGCCCAGCGTCCATCTCAGCGTTGCTGACGGAAATGGGACTCCCCGTTGGCAGTTGCACGGCGTCAGCACTGGGTCAACTCCAGCTTGACAGACAGAAGCATGCAGCAAGGAAGAGGTCTGCAGAGGTCAAGAGGAGGAGGAAGAGGCGAAGAAGAGTTCGCAAAGGTATCCAGGAAGAGGAAGTAGCTCAAGAAGGTGTCTCATACGAAGCTGGTGGCGTCTAGGTATGTGCTGTGACACGGGATCTTGTTGCTGCGGACCCAATGTGAAGTCCCTTTTTTGACCATTTTTCCATGACTGTGCTGGCTCTTAACCAGGCTGTGGCCTCTCCTGTAGCTGGTACACCCATAAAAGTATATATTTTCTGTTTCTGCATGGTGTAGGCTAGACATTGAACCAAAGCTTACCTGCCTAGCAGGTGACATAACCAGTATTGGTGTTCTGAAATATTGACGAATGTTTACGAATGTTTACGCGAAATCAGTATTTTCGCTGTAACGAAGCTATCTGAGTAGGAGATTTGCATATTTTGCTAATCTTTGGTTCAATGTCTTCATTTATGTTTCTATTAGCCTGCCAAGTAGACATTTTGGTCATCTTATACATGAGTTTTTCAGCACTCTGGTGAAGAGTGAAGTATACGGGCATTTTTGAATTTTCAAGCTATGCTCAGAATTAACTGTCACTGTTCATGCCTAAGGGTGTGCACATGGACCAGATATCCATAGAGAACTTGTGTAGAAAATTTGAAGTAATTATCTCTACCCAATCCAAAATTACGGATGTCAACGTGCCGTACGCCCACGAAGGCAGAGTGCCACCTTAAACAGTTCGGTACCGAGTCGCTCATGCCTGACGTGGTCAAAGGACTTTGACATGTCGACAAACACGATGCCGGTATACTTGCGCTCTGCCCGTGCCATTTGCCATCGATCAACAGCATGCACACGATCACACACCACTATGACTACAGATTCACTAGTACGAGCCTGGATATCACGGATCTGCATAATGCTATTTGGTCCACGGCAGACATTATCCGGTGTGTTTCCTGGCAGGTGAGTATCACGCGTCGCTATCTACTCTGGTCTCACGGAAAACTGCACAATAGATTGCGGTGTACAGTATGTTCGCCCAGACTGGACACGTCTGCGCCGCGTACCGATGTAACAACAATTACATGGTCAGTAGAAAGCACGATAATTTTATGTAGTCCCAAGACCATGTCCAGCAAAGACTTAGTGAAAAGGGATACTCATAGGTAGGATGCAGGCAGCCGGGTGAGCGCGGCATGCACGATGCCGTACTACCCGTAGATCTACGCGTGCTTCACTGTTGTTTTGTAGTGATTCACTTTCACGCACGCACGCACGGACGGTCGGTCTTTGTGTGGAGTTCCAGCTAATAATAGTAGTACTAGTAGTATTTATTCATATTTCTCTAGGGCAGTCCCCACAGACCTAGGCTATGGTCTCCTTACGGGGTACCCTAGCCAATCTAGGATTGCGATACGAAATTGACTTGGTGAAGGAGCAAGGCGGACCGATGCCGGAACCGAGTTCCAGCGGTCAGCGGCTAAAGAAAGAGAGGAATAACCAAATCGAGAGGAGGCTCGAGGCAGTAGCTAATCTGCCCAGATAAGACAGATTGGAGTCTGGAGCCAATGGACATGCGCGAGCGTAGCTTCCGTTCACGGATCTCAGTCTAGTCGTGTGCTCGACGTTCGTCAAAGTAGATTTTCGCCCGTAGCGAACCGAGCCTCGTGGCTTGTAGTTTGACTTAGCGGTTTCACTGCTCGGATTGCAGTAGGGTTCGTTGTCGTTGGACCTGTCGGGAGGGGTTGTGACAAGTGCTGCAAGTGTAGAGCATACCTAGTGCCTGCAAGTCGCGGACAACTGAGATTGGAAACTAACGTTTCGTCTCAGTATTTCAGCGGACAGCCATGCTTGAAGCAACTCCTCTGTCAACTCATAGCTATGACATCGTCGGCTAGGTTCTTCCTCTGGTGTTCGAAGGGACGCGTACAACGCATCAAGGAAGCGCTCAACAAGGGAGGGAATATCGATCGTTTGTTGGAGGAGCGCCATGGCATGTTCCTGTACACACCACTACACGTTGCAGTTGTGAAGGACCAGCACGAAGTGGTTGAGGTAGGTCAATGGTGTCGTAGATCTACAGTGATCTGCCCTATATCATACGGACTCGAGATACTAGTACCCTGAAAACATGGAAAACAGTGGGGCACAAGTATCTTAGTTGTGCGTTTAGATTCCACCGACTAATTTTAATTAGTAAATTATTTAGACTAGATTGTGAAGAATCAGACGTGCACAAGGTAGCACCAGACTGACAAGGAGTACTGAGACATTTGGGATTTCCACTGCATGAAAGTGAGCTTGAGCACTGCTCGATAGCGTTAGCCAAACGCCTTCCAACTAACTTGGAAGCTGGGTAGTAGTTACTTGAAGTACTAGTATTAAATTTTATTATTTGACTAGGGGACTAGGGGACTAGGGGACTAGGGGACTGGGGGACTGGGGGACTGGGGGACTGGGGGACTGGGGGACTGGGGGACTGGGGGACTGGGGGACTGGGGGACTGGGGGACTGGGGGACTGGGGGACTGGGGGACTGGGGGACTGGGGGACTAGGGGACTAGGAGACTGGGGGACTAGGGGACTAGGGGAGTCCCAACAGGCATGGCCTTGTTACAGAGAACCCTAGGTGAATCTTTGTGAGGTAAGCAAAAGTGCCAGCAGATTGTGCCTGACGACAGTTTGGAGGAAGAGCGTTCCACCGACCTGCCGCCAGAAAAGAAACTGAGCGCAGTCCATACCCAATATGTACAGTAGGTAATACTAAGGCAGCTACAGTAAAACCTGTAATGGCGACCACTCGGATATGGCGACCACTCGACCATGGCGACCACTTTTCCTTGTCACGGACACATTCACGTTCAAAACACGTAAGGCGACCACTCGCTCAACGCGACCGACGACCACCCACCCGCGACCGCGTTGCACAGTGTGAGTCATGTAAATGTACGCATTGCATGGTGCACCAGGCATGGTACTTGGTAGATCTACACATCAGTGCAGGAAGTGTAGATGTACATGGTGCATGCACGACATTTTGACAGGTCTGAGGACCCCAGGCACATAAGTCGTGCTAGAGTAGCATAGGTGTGTTCACTGTGATGCACTGATCAAAATGATGTATCACATGTAGATATGGTCACAAGACCCACTGAAACTGGATAAGAAGACCACCTGGCCACGGCGACCACTTTTTCTCGTCCCTTGAGGGGTCGCCTTAGACAGGTTTCACTGTATATCCTGGCCAGGAGTACGAGCATTTGTGTGCGGGCCAACTGACAACTGAACGCAGGCCCGGCAGCTGAACGCAGGCCAACTGAACGCAGGCCAACTGAACGCAGGCCAACTGAACGCAGGCCAACTGAACGCAGGCCAACTGAACGCAGGCCAACTGAACGCAGGCCAACTGAACGCAGGAGAAACAGTGATTGAAGGAGGGGCTAGCAATTGATGACAAGCAGCGATAGACGAAAACGTATAGTTTCAAATTAACTCTTTGCTCAAACAAAAACAGATGACACCATTGTAGAACTAATGCAGTTAGGGTCATTCTATCTAAACCAAATGCCTTCTTCATCGCAATAATTAGGGCTGACCATTACAAGCCTGTTATATCGGGTAGTTTTCAAGGTTCATGGATATTAGTGATTATTGATTATTCCAAAGAGGAGAAGGTAAGCGCCATAGAGCCAAACACAAGCTACATTGCCAGGAGGCTTCAGGGCCTCGGCTATGGCAGTTAACAATTTGTCCATCACAGTCGTTAACCAAGTACAGTACTGTAGGATATCGGCGTGTCAGGGAGGGTTTGTTACAATTCATATCGGCGTTGGGTTTGTTACAATTCATATCGGCGTTGGGTTTGTTACAATTCATCCTTAACCAAGCTTCCCTTTCATTAATTATCCTTGATAAAATCGAGGCCCCCAAGTTAGGTGGGTTTTTGGCACTTTTTGCTTATCGTTGTCGAATTATGGTTAGACTGTATTGTCCTACCAAGCCAGCATTCACTGGCCACATATGTACATGTACATTTGCCTGACTAGATGGGTTTAGTCTGCTTTGGGGATGAAAATTCCGTTCTCTGTTTCAATGTGTTGCAGGTGCTGGTGAAGTTCTACTATGCAGACGTGAACTGTAAGAGTGGCAACGGGTACACACCACTGCACTTGGCTGCACACCAGGGCTACCGAGAGTGCGCCAAGCACCTACTGTCCGCCTCTGTCAGCGTGGACTTTGAGCTGCGCGACAGCAACAACCGCAGGACGGCACTGGAGGCCGCACAGGATGCTGGCAACACGGACATTGTGAAAATGATCCGATCGGCAGGTAGGCCTCACCCTCCAGATGTAGCCTTGTAAAACGTTGTACGCATAGTGAGGTTTGAGAACCGTTGCATGCATAGTGAGGTTTGTGAACCGTTGCATGCATAGTGAGGTTTGCGAACCGTTGCATGCATAGTAAGGTTTGCGGCCCGTTACATGCATAGTGAGGTTTGCAAACCGTTGCATGCATAGTGAGGTTTGCAAACCGTTGCATGCATAGTGAGGTTTGCGGCCCGTTACATGCATAGTGAGGTTTGCAAACCGTTGCATGCATAGTGAGGTTTGTGAACTGTTGCATGCATAGTGAGGTTTGCAAACCGTTGCATGCATAGTGAGGTTTGCAAACCGTTGCAAGCATAGTGAGGTTTGCGAACCGTTGCATGCATAGTGAGGTTTGAGAACCGTTGCATGCATAGTGAGGTTTGCGAACCGTTGCATGCATAGTGAGGTTAGCGAGCCGTTGCATGCATAGTGAGGTTAGCGAACCGTTGCATGCATAGTGAGGTTTGCGAACCGTTACATGCATAGTGAGGTTTGCGAACCGTTACATGCATAGTGAGGTTTGTGAACCGTTGCATGCATAGTGAGGTTTGCGAACCGTTGCATGCATAGTGAGGTTAGCGAACCGTTGCTTGCATAGTGAGGTTTGCGAACCGTTGCATGCATAGTGAGGTTTGTGAACCGTTGCATGCATAGTGAGGTTTGCAAACCGTTGCATGCATAGTGAGGTTTGCAAACCGTTGCATGCATAGTGAGGTTTGCAAACCGTTGCATGCATAGTGAGGTTTGCAAACCGTTGCATGCATAGTGAGGTTTGTGAACTGTTGCATGCATAGTGAGGTTTGCAAACCGTTGCATGCATAGTGAGGTTTGCAAACCGTTGCATGCATAGTGAGGTTTGCAAACCGTTGCATGCATAGTGAGGTTTGCGAACCGTTGCATGCATAGTGAGGTTTGCAAACCGTTGCATGCATAGTGAGGTTTGAGAACCGTTGCATGCATAGTGAGGTTTGCGAACCGGTGCATGCATAGTGAGGTTTGTGAACTGTTGCATGCATAGTGAGGTTTGCAAACCGTTGCATGCATAGTGAGGTTTGCAAACCGTTGCATGCATAGTGAGGTTTGTGAATCGTTGCATGCATAGTGAGGTTTGCAAACCGTTGCATGCATAGTGAGGTTTGCGAACCGTTGCATGCATAGTGAGGTTTGCAAACCGTTGCATGCATAGTGAGGTTTGCAAACTGTTGCATGCATAGTGAGGTTTGCAAACCGTTGCATGCATAGTGAGGTTTGCAAACCGTTGCATGCATAGTGAGGTTTGCAAACCGTTGCATGCATAGTGAGGTTTGCAAACCGTTGTGGGCATTGTGAGGTTTGCAAACCGTTGCATGCATAGTGAAGTTGTGAAAGATCTACGGCTGACTTACAGTGTAGTGCTTGAGAAGTACATGTACTAGGCTGAGTACATGTACTTGGCTGAGTACATGTACTTGGCTGAGTACAACACTTGCTTCACACCCTTCAATGCCAAGCATGATGCAGTGTTCAATGCCAAGCCTGATGCAGTGTCACTAGGCATAGGGGTACACATACAACATACTCAATCTCTGTACAGTAAATCACTGTTAGCTGCTAGCGATCTTAGCCTTCTTAGTTCTCATCAGTGGAGCACAGCCTGAGTTACTGACCAATTCGACCCCTCAATGAGGTCAATGAGGTGTCGAATGAACAGGAACGAATAGTGCATGTATATCGGCCCAAGGCACCTGTCAGAGTGCCCTAGTCGCGAGTAATAACACCTGTCAGAGTGCCCTAGTCGCGAGTAATAACACCTGTCAGAGTGCCCTAGTCGCGAGTAATAACACCTGTCAGAGTGCCCTAGTCGCGAGTAATAACACCTGTCAGAGTGCCCTAGTCGCGAGTAATAACACCTGTCAGAGTGCCCTAGTCGCGAGTAATAACACCTGTCAGAGTGCCCTAGTCGCGAGTAATAACACCTGTCAGAGTGCCCTAGTCGCGAGTAATAACACCTGTCAGAGTGCCCTAGTCGCGAGTAATAACACCTGTCAGAGTGCCCTAGTCGCGAGTAATAACACCTGTCAGAGTGCCCTAGTCGCGAGTAATAACACCTGTCAGAGTGCCCTAGTCGCGAGTAATAACACCTGTCAGAGTGCCCTAGTCGCGAGTAATAACACCTGTCAGAGTGCCCTAGTCGCGAGTAATAACACCTGTCAGAGTGCCCTAGTCGCGAGTAATAACACCTGTCAGAGTGCCCTAGTCGCGAGTAATAACACCTGTCAGAGTGCCCTAGTCGCGAGTAATAACACCTGTCAGAGTGCCCTAGTCGCGAGTAATAACACCTGTCAGAGTGCCCTAGTCGCGAGTAATAACACCTGTCAGAGTGCCCTAGTCGCGAGTAATAACACCTGTCAGAGTGCCCTAGTCGCGAGTAATAACACCTGTCAGAGTGCCCTAGTCGCGAGTAATAACACCTGTCAGAGTGCCCTAGTCGCGAGTAATAACACCTGTCAGAGTGCCCTAGTCGCGAGTAATAAGGCAAGCCATTCACGAAGGCAGACAACTTTGACGCAAACCAGTGGTGGTGCTTCACGTAAACGGCGGAGGCATATCACCTGTGTCCGTCAGACAATACATGTACATGTATACTGTGTTTGCTCATTTCCCGGTGTAGTGTCTGCTGATCCAGTCTCTGTATACATGTATACATGTCACAGTAGACAGGGCACTGTAGTGGTGGCAAAGCTGGAGAAGCAGAACTAGAGAAAATAGAGAAATAGAGAGAGAGAGGGGGGGGGGAGGATACTTGCCTGACTCCACATCACAGTGTGCACTAAATGGCTGGATGATGTCCTGTGCTCCATTGCAGCTCTATTTCAAGCTGTCAACACACGATACGAGGACTGTGCACACATTACACGGCTTCTCGAGCGAGTCCAGTGGCAAGATTTTGAGCCTGGCGTGTTTGAAAAGTGCCTAACAGTGTGTGCTGCCAAGGGTTTTCTGCTGGCGGCAAGTTTGCTCCTCATCAGGCCACACAGCCGCTTTGACGTGAAGCATTTCCAGAAGCTGTCGCTGGAAAACAACCACTTTCTGCTGGGCGCGTTCTTCATGCTGTTCAAAGCAGCCAAGACTAATGAGCCACAGCTCTTCAAGCAAGTCGAGTCATCCACGCTGGATGAGAAATCCAAATCTGATGAACCAGCAAAGCCAGATGAGCTTGCCAAGCCTGCTGATACAGATGCTGTGGCTGCCAGCAAAGGCTCCCGGCCCTCCACGATCCAGTCCGGCAGCGGCGATACCAGCAGAAGCAGCTCACAAAAGTCGGATGAGCAGGCCCGTCGATCCTCTATGGTACAGCATGCAATCGAGGAGTGCCTGTCGGATGTGAATTCCCGCATGTGTCTGATGGCAGTTGCCAAGCGCAAAGGTCATGTTCAGGTTGTGAAAGAGCTGCTGCTAAGACACAAGGCAAACAAGAAGGCGCACACTGTCGGCTGGGAAGGACTGGTGCTGCGAGATGTGAACAGCACTTGGATTGCTGCAGTGGCTGACTGGGTCACTCTCTTCAACCTTAACTTCAACTACCTTAGCACTGTAAGCCGGAACTTGACGCCAGCGCAGTGTTCATGCCGGAGTACGCATGCCTGGTTGTCAGCGCAGTGTTCATGCTGGAGTACGCATGCCTGGTTGTCTGAGTAAAGGGGCTGGTACATAGTGCAACTGTTGATTTTATTCATGCATATCTTGCACACAGCGCACCAGAATATTGCAAAACAAAAACTTTCAGCAGTACCCTTGGCTTGCAATGCAAGACAAAAAACTGCGTTTCAGCGCTTGCGCGACCTTCTGTGTCATTACCAGGACGCCAGCATAATATTCAAAAATAAATAAATAGAAAAACACAAAAACACAAAAAAACACATCGCAGATGTTCGTCATTCGAAAGAACAGTGTTTCTCGTTTATTTCAAATATTCAGCCAACGAGAAGCGTACACTGCTTGCATGGATACGTTGTGAATCTACTTCAGCCTGAGTAGTTACCATGCTCACCCGGCCAAATCTACATGTGTTCATGTGATCAGTGAAGATGTAGCTTGAGATATAGGGCTTGAATGTGCTACGTCACAGCCAGCCCGGAGTCATGACAACGATTGCTTTCAATCCACTTGGGTCCAGTTGTTTTCCCTTCTTTCCATACAGTCAAATGTTCTTGATTGCAGAAGTTTATTCGATTAGGATGTTATCGTAAGTTGCAACTGAAGATTATCACAAGAAAATGTTTCTGGAAATGGTCCTTGCTCTGATGTGTTCGGAGTCATAAGTGTGCAGCTGATTTTGAATTCATACAAATATTTGCTAAACAAAACACACTCAATGGGATTATTTTCTACGTTACCCGGGCCTCTATCCTCTTTGTTTGCATTAGGTTCCCAAGCATCTAGCACAGTGTTCGCACCTGACCAAGCTGTTCTTGCGCGGCAACAAGCTGCGCACCGTTCCCGACGAGCTGGTCCAGATGCTGGAGCTTCGCACGCTGGACCTTTCGGCGAACGACCTGACCTCGCTGCCCGAGTGCAACTGGACCGAGAACCTGGTGTATTTGAATGTGACGCAGAACGTGCTGGACAGCCTGCCACTGGGTATGATGCACTGCAAGGAGAGCCTGGACACGCTCTACATCAATTCAAACCAGTTTACGAAAGTACGTGATGCCGGTTGAGCGTGGGCAGGGAAGGGGAGCTGTTCACGAAAGTACGTGATGCCGGTTGAGCGTGGGCAGGGAAGGGGAGCTGGGTATGGATACTGACATACACATGAGCTGTCGGCATGACGGAACCTATTGAGCTACTGTGCTAGTATGACGGCGAGCTAAGAATATCCGAGGTTTTTGGAATGTCTAGCTGCACAGCAAGCAGATATTGGACGCTGCCAAATGCTGTGGATTTCACATCATTGCAATCATCAAAGGTCACAATGTCAATGAGCTTACCCTTCAGGCAACACGATCAACTCACACGAAAAACACGTTGAAACATCCACACACACACACATGCAAACACATGCACATCCACATATACATACACACACACCATTGGACCATTGGATGCCCATCGCCGGTGGCGATGATAGCGATGCTACAGTAGAAGCCATAGCAGCTTGTGCTGGGATTTCACCATTCAACAGCTTGCAAGGCTGAAGAATTGACCGCCACTATTCAGCCTGGTCTACGCCACACAGCTATGAAGTGGCTTTTTCTGGCCAGTGAATCCCTACTTTTTGGTCTTCTTCATTTTTTTCACGCACACGCATCACACCACATACTCCGGCATGCACTGGCTGTTGGTAACCACCCAGCAGAATGAAAGAAAAGTCAGGAGGAGTCTGAGAAAGAGAAGAAAGACGTGTGTGACCATAGTCGTTGGGAATCGAACCCGCAACCTATCGATTGGAAATCGCTGCACATACCACTGCACCATATGGGACACACACACACACACACACACACACACACACACACACACACACACACACACACACATACACACACACACCACACACACACCACACACACACACACACACACATGCACACACATGCACACACATACACACACATGTGAGCACGTTACAGCTTACAAGAGCAACTGATTCTGCCTCCATGTTTCAGCGCTTGCGGGTTTGTCTCTGCCCCACTCTCGTTCCCAGGTTCCGGAGCTGATTGGAGAGCTGCAAAGCCTTCAGTTCCTAGACCTCAGCCACAACCATGCGAGCCTTAACACACTGCCCGATTTCCTGGGCAATTTGACCTACCTACACAGCTTGGGCCGGGCTGGGCTCAACATCACACAACCACCCCGGGCTATGACCATGAGTGACAGCCGCCTGAAAACGCTCCTCCGCCAGCGACAGCAAGGCTGCAAGCCGTACTATGGCATGAAACTCATGGTGGTGGGCCTGCCTGGAAAGGGTGAGTCTCGCACAGCATGTGCAAGCAACCACCCCATGTAGTAGCACAGCGACGGTCCGGCCTGAGTGCAGGCTAGAGATTGATAAGCATGATGCCAACGTGGATGGGCGACTGTTTCTTTTTACACCACACTATTGCGTTGCTCCTGCTCCCGGTATTTGATGTAAGGCCGACTTAGACCCAGTGCAGTTCATTATTGTGATATACCGGCAGGGCCGCACCAGGGGCGTCAGAAGATATTTTTGTTGTCCCTGCCCTTTTGGCACGTGTGTGCCAAAAGGGGCACACACGTGCCAAAAGGGCAGGGACAACATTGTTGTTGTGCGCATGCTTGCATGCTTATCGTGCGCATTCTGGTTGTTTTGGGTGCCTTCTTCCTGAGACTCTCCTTGGAACAACAATGATAATCTGTCCTCTGAGTGTGGCGTACGTGTGATGAATGAATAAGAGAGTAATCGGAAGGGCTATCGTGCGAGGGATTAAAACCCCCCGACGACATTTTAGTGCGGTACGGTCAGCCATCTGAAGTACAATTCACTCGTCGGGGTGGGGTTGCTGAGGCAAATATTTTGGAAATTTAGAGCCCAGATCGGTGTATTTTATTGATTCACAGGGTGCCCGAGACAGAAAGTGGTACGGCCAATACCGTAGTGACCGTACCGTGTCCGACGCCCCTGGCCACTCAGATGTATGTATGTGATGTGCAGTGATGGGCACTGTAATGTTGTGTCTGCGGCGCAGAAGCCGTGTTTAGACTTTAGAGAAATATCCTAGTGAAGTTTGAAGAAAACTGATTCGACGCCATTGATTTGGCATGTGAAACACATTTGCACAACCGACGCTGATGTGAAGAAATCACAATAACTTAAAACTTACTTCGAAGTAGAACATAGAACATATTCCAAGACCTTTTTGCTGAGAAAACAGAAGACACTGTTGTTCACATCAGAGTCTAGAGGTAGAAATGGAAGTGGGAATTGTAAAGTCACTACTGTATACTGTTTGGCTTTGTTCTGTATGTTTTGTGGTATGTGTGCCCTTTGACCCACTGCAAGCAGGAAAGACAACATTGATAGGACGCTTGCGTGGCATCCCCGTCATGAGCGACATGAGCACCGTCGGCATCGACATCAACGAGTGGAACTACCGACCGCCGGAGATTGCAGATGCGGCGGCGACGGTGACGCGTCTCAAGGAGGACATCCAGTACCGAGTGTGGGACTTTGCCGGCCAGCAGGTCTACTACACCACGCACCAGTGCTTCTTGTCCAGCCGCTGCGTGTACGTGCTCGTCTGGAACGTCAACGATGGCCAGCGCGGCATCGACGAGATGAGCCCGTGGCTGGACAACATACGTATGTGCGCGCGTCACTCGGTCGTCGTCATCGTCACCACGCACATCGACGTGATGCTGGAGCAGCAGCAGGATGCGCGGGTGGTTGTCGAGACGGAGGGCATGCTGCAGAAGTTTGCGTCCAGAACGCCGTACCGCGAGATGACGATCAAGATTGCACCGTTGGTCAGCGATGTGCAGCAGATACGACTGACCATCGTCGAAGCTACAGTAGCCATTCAGCTGAAACGCAGTCACAAGAAGGCTCTCGGAGAAGAGATACCGAAATGCTACATTGACTTGGAGCAGGTCATCGTGCAGAAACGCATGGAGCTGAGAGCTACCAACGCACCTCAGATTTTGAACATTGATGAACTGCAGGAGCTGATCAGGGGGAAAGGAGTCATCGGCCTCGACCATGACAGCGAGTTGGCTATGGCGGTGAAGTTTCTACATGAGAATGGCACGCTACTTCACTACGACAATGCAGCTGACCTGGAGACTATCTACTTCATTGATCCACAGTGGCTGAGCGACATGATCTCGGCGATTGTCACGATCCGAGAAAGAAATCCGCATCCATACGGTGGCCAGGGCCGCCAGCAAGGCGTCATGCTACGTGAGAACATCTGGTCCATCCTCTCTGAGAAGTCCTTCCCGCACCGGTACGAGATGGAATACCTGAGCCTGCTGCATTTCTTCGCCGTGGTCGTCTTCATGGACATCGAGAGCTTGCTGATACCGTCGCTGCTCTCCGACAACCCTCCGCCACCCTCACCACTGCACACCAGCCATACCACCACAGCCGGCAGTGGCCGGAATGAGGCGAAAGGATCACTGCAGAGGCGCTACTGCATGGGAAGCATTCCACACGGTCTCTTCAGTCGCATGTCGGCACGCCTGCTCTGTCAACTCGGTCCGGAGCTGAAAGCCCGTGGCATGCTGTTGGATGACTGGCTATCGCCTGTTGGAGGCCGTAGTCATTCATCAGGCAACGGTCAGCAACACTTGCCGTCGCCGCACCATGTACATGCAGGCGATTGCGGGGAAAGCTGTGGCAGCGCTGGCTCAACCGACGGCCGAATTGTTGTGTGGAAAAGCGGCCTGAAGTTCGAGCATGGGACGGATCTAGGAATCCTGATTCGGGAATTTGAGCATCCAAGCTCGGGCGGTGCGGGAATTGACATAAGCATCCGGGGCGCTCAACACAGTCGCTACTTCATGGCTATTGTCATCAATCAGATCGACACACTGCTGAGAGAGTGGTACAGCGACATCATGGATGATCCGCTGAACCCGCTCAGGGTGGAGTGTGGCTGTCCCGTGTGCAAGGCCAGCAATCGCATATCCAACACCTTCCTGAGACTGAGCGAGTGCAAGCATAAGCTAGATGAGGGAAAGTCGACACTCTGGTGCTGGGGTCACCGTGGTGATGTTTCCATGGCCGATGTAGTACCAGAACTTCTGATGGAGAACCTGCCGGCAGAGGTGTTGCTGTCGTCCTCGCGAGTTCAGTGTGACTTTAACGACAAGGATAACCAGTTAGGTGTGGGTGGCTACGGGCAAGTCTACAGAGGCTATGCGGACGGTCAGCGTGTTGCGGTCAAGGTGTATCGGGACCGGGACGGTACTCTGTCCGGCTACCGGGAACTCTCGCACGAGGTAAGGACTGTGTGTGTGTGTGTGTGTGTGTGTGTGTGTGTGTACGTGTGTGTACATGTGTGTGTACATGTGTGTGTACATGTGTGTGTGGGGGAGGTAAGGACTGGGTGTGTGTGTAAGTGTGTGTGTGTGTGTGTGTGTGCCTGTGCATGTGTGTGTGTGTGGGGGGGGGGGGGAGGTGCATGCATGTGGGTGCATGCATGTGGGTGCATGCATGTGGGTACATGTATGTGGGTACATGCATGTGGGTGCATGCATGTGGGTGCAAGTTGGCGAGGGATACAGAATATACATATACAGCCGAACTCGCAAGTACATGCCCTAATAAGTACAAGTGTGTGTGTGTGTGTGTGTGTGTGTGTGTGTGTGTGTGTGTGTGTGTGTGTGTGTGTGTGTGCATGTGTGTGTGTGTGTGCATGTGTGTGTGTGTGTGTGTGTGTGTGTGTGTGTGTGTGTGTGTGTGTGTGTGTGTGTGTGTGTGTGTGCGTGTGTTGTGTGCATGCACACATATAGGTGACAATGCTACATCAGCTGCAGCATCCGCACATCGTCCGCGTCGTCGGTGTTGTACTTCACCCACTCCAGTTTGTACTGGAACTGGCACCGCTCGGTTCCCTGAGGAGCCTGACAAAGGAGAAGAAGATGTTACCAAGGTTACTTCTATACTCCATGGCTGCTCAGGTACAGTGTACACACTGTTGCAAAGAACTCGTATGCCGTTTGCATTACACATATCCTTCAATTGTTATTGGCCATTGTTTACATGTCATAAGTACTCTAGTTCATACAATGCTCAGTCAGAACACGGAAGTCGCAGGTTAGTTTATACTTTCGTAAAGATTCCAGAAGAAGAGCAAAGCAGTCAACAAAACAACAACAATACGTGAAAAGTCATAGCAGGCATGCGCTGTGTGGCAAGTCAATAAATGATGGCTCGCAAGTACAGACACCACAATAGGGGGAGAAATGAATACAAATACAACCAGTGGAGAAGATGAGCGGTACTGAGGGATGAGTCGTAGCCTGGGCCGTTCTTATTTCTCATGTAGAACTGGCTATATACATGTAGCTGAGCCACCATGTACACGCACATGCAGACATCCTGCGCCTGGTAAAATTCTAGCCTGTTCTTTCTTCGGCCATTGCCCTCGGCATTGGTAGTAAGTACTGTTCTGTGAATGCAACCAAATTCCTAAACCGATGCTGGTGTTTGTCACGAAGAGTTCTGAGTTCTTGCCTTCCTTGGAGATACTTTGATCAAGAAGGCTTCTCCCTCAGGATGAGACCCCTCCATTGTACTCAGTTGGGGCTAAGGCCTGCGGATTCCCCGCACGTGGGGAAAGCTGGGTGCACAGTTTCTGTACATGTACGCGCGTGATTTCTTTCCTTTGTGTGGCTCCTGCCGCTACTGGTTATGTTCCCTGCTCAGATTGCCGAGGTGCTGCAGTTTCTGGATGAGCGCTCTGTGGTGTACCGGGATTTGAAGAGCGACAATATCCTGGTGTTCTCCAAGGACGTGCGAGACAAAGTGAACCTGAAGCTGACAGACTTTGGTCAGGCGTCGGCATGTGCTCCGTATGGGATAAAGGTGTGTAGTAGTGAGACTTGGGGAATTGTGTATGTTGCTCCCTACATGGCACCAGCCTCTTCTTCACAGTAATGAGACTTGGGGAATTGTGTGTGTTGCTCCCTACATGGCACCAGCCTCTTCTTCACAGTAATGAGACTTGGGGAATTGTGTATGTTGCTCCCTACATGGCACCAGCCTCTTCTTCACAGTAATGAGACTTGGGGAATTGTGTATGTTGCTCCCTACATGGCACCAGCCTCTTCTTCACAGTAATGAGACTTGGGGAATTGTGTGTGTTGCTCCCTACATGGCACCAGCCTCTTCTTCACAGTAATGAGACTTGGGGAATTGTGTGTGTTGCTCCCTACATGGCACCAACCTCTTCTTCACAGTAATGAGACTTGGGGAATTGTGTGTGTCGCTCCCTACATGGCACCAACCTCTTCTTCACAGTAACGAGACTTGGGGAATTGTGTGTTGCTCCCTACATGGCACCAACCTCTTCTTCTCAGTAACGAGACTGAGGAAATTATCCTCATAGTCATGGTCATGGTCTAGGTATTATGCTCTATCGGTCCTTCAGTTGCACCGTTCTGAGCACTCCGGTAGCCATGCATCCAATACTTGCGGTGTGTGGGACTCGGTTTGGATTATGTACCAGTTGCCCAGTGTGTGTCTCAGCACAAGAGACATCAAATACCCATGTGGTCACTACGTTCATGAGTAGTCAGCATACTCCAGACCAGCACGTGACATTCTGGGTTGCATTAGCATCAATACATGCAGGTCTAGTTAGGCAGGTGTCAGTCAATCAGTCAGTCGCTATGAATACCGTATTATCTCTAATATAAGCACAGTCTCCAATAATAGCACGTCTCCAATAATAGAACACCTTGGGGCGGCGTTCAAAAAATAAAGTGCTCAGTCTCCATTATAAGCACACTGTGTAAATTCATTATCTGTACCGGCGAAAAAACCCTTAAATGTGTGTGTCTGACATGAATTTGGCATGGCAACATGCCTCTGAAAATGAGGTTGAAATAATAATGGAACAGTCTCCAATAAAGGAACGTCTCCATTAATAGCACGGGGCGGAGGTACATTGAAAAAATAAAGGACCGTGCTTATATTAGAGATAATACGGTACCGAGCTCCAACGGTAAGAAACAGCCATTTTCTTCAGACGCCGATTCCTGTGATTATAATGCAACTACTTGCACCTACACAGTTGCTACGGATACCGCCGGCCATATGCACTGTACTGTCACGTGATTGCAGTGATGCTCTGCACTTTGTGATGTGTGATGTATGGTGTTGTGTGATGTATGGTGTTGTGGTGTATGGTGTTGTGTGATGTGTGGTGTTGTGTGATGTATGGTGTTGTGTGATGTATGGTGTTGTGTGATGTATGGTGTTGTGTGATGTGTGGTGTTGTGTGATGTATGGTGTTGTGTGATGTATGGTGTTGTGTGATGTATGGTGTTGTGTGGTGTATGGTGCTGTGTGATGCATGGTGGTGTGTGATGTATGGTGATGCATGGTGCTGTGTGATGTATAGTGATGCATGGTGCTGTGTGATGCATGGTGTTGTGTGATGCATGGTGCTGTGTGATGCATGGTGTTGTGTGATGTATGGTGCTGTGTGATTTATGGTGATGCATGGTGATGCATGGTGCTGTGTGATGTATGGTGTTGTGTGATGTACAGGGGCGTAGGAAGCAGTTTAATATTGGTGCGGCGAAATTGTGAGAGGGGTCCGGGGGTCCTTCCCCGGGATTTGTTTTGGAAAATTGGGCCTAAAACTAAAGTAAAAGGCCATATTTTAATGCTACAGAATAATAATGAGAAATAAGAATATGCATGCTGATGATACACCGCATTGTCGATGTAAAACATGGTACCTGTACAAGAGTCGACAGGCCATCAACAAGATTGAAATGTAAAAAAATATAAATAAAAAAATCGAAAATTATTGGTCCGGCGACCGCCGGGCCTGCCGGACCGGTTCCTACGCCCATGATGTATGGTGTTGTGTGATATGTGGTGTTGTGTGATGTATGGTGTTGTGTGATGTATGGTGTTGTGTGATGTATGGTGTTGTGTGATGTATGGTGTTGTGTGGTGTATGGTGCTGTGTGATGTATGGTGTTATGTGTACTTGAACAGGGCATTGGTGGCACGTGTAGCTTCCAAGCGCCGGAACTATATGTATATGTATGGTGTTGTGTGATGTATGGTGTTGTGTGGTGTATGGTGCTGTGTGATGTATGGTGTTATGTGTACTTGAACAGGGCATTGGTGGCACGTGTAACTTCCAAGCGCCGGAACTATATGTATATGTATGGTGTTGTGTGATGTATGGTGTTGTGTGGTGTATGGTGCTGTGTGATGTATGGTGTTATGTGTACTTGAACAGGGCATTGGTGGCACGTGTAGCTTCCAAGCGCCGGAACTCCTGCGACGCGTCACGTACACCCGGAAGGTGGACATGTACTCGTTTGGCTGCGTCCTCTGGGAGCTGCTGACAAACTCGCGGCCATACGCTGGGAAGCTCAAGCACGCCATATTCAGACGTGTGATCAGGGGCGCAAAACCGAAACTCGAAGAGAATGACGTAAGGCCGCGGTTTTGGCAAGAGTTCACCTCTTGCTAGCGATGCCGAGAGTGGCTAGACTGCAAGAATGTTTTGTTCCTTGATTAAGGAGAAGAGACGAATCTCATCTCCATCATGTACTAACTGGCAGATAGCTGATGACTGGAAAGGAAAGGATGTTGAGTACAGTAATAACTTATTTCTGCGTTAAAAAACCTTTTAAAATTCCTTCTAAACAGACCTCCTGAAAATCCATGCCTACAAGGAACAATTTTTAATCGACCCCCCCCCCCCCACTCTCTCTCCTCTTGGAGTAAATCCCGGAGTAGTTTAATAGGAGTATTAAAGTGTGATCAGATGACAAGCATCTCATTCTGTATTGTTGACAGTCATTCTGTTTCAAACCATGGACAGGGTGGGCAGAGAGAGAGCATACAGTTCAAGCAAGGCATGGTGTTGGAATGACGATATCCCCCCCGTTGCGCTTTTGACTGGGGAGGTATATTCGTGGAAATGCACAGCCTTAGTAACGTAGTTGTGCCAGGGAAAGGTTCACCTGCAATCATAATCAGGAAGTCATCAAATACCGGTATTTAATGACTCACTAATCATAACTATTCATAGTGGATTTGGTTAATGTGTAGCGTTAATAATATCTAGAGTCCAGTACTACCGGACATTTTTGCTTGAGAAAAAAAGGCTGTACATATGACTGTGTGCGTGCGTGCGTGTTTGTGTGCTTGTGTGTATTATGTTCACGTTGGGTGTTGTGTTCACACAGTGCGGCCGAGTGGACATGCCGTGTCTGGTCACACTCATGGACCGTGCCTGGCATAAGAGTGCTAAGCTGCGACCGCAGGCCAGCGACACGGCCGATTTCCTGCGCATGCGCCACGTACAGCTGCTCAAGCGTGAGCAAGTCATCATGGCTGCCGCCGCTAATCCGGACGCCATCTCAGCCAAGCACATAGCTCATGTGCAGTCGCTCAACACCGTCTTGATCATCTCATCCAGCGTTCAGCCAAGGAAGGGTTGCCTGGTTGAAGTGCTCGAAAAGGACTCGCTCAAGCTGTTGGGAACCACTGGTCTTCTCTTGCCAGGAAATGAGGTGAGAATGGGCAACAAAGGTAGATATTGCATGAGTGTTAAAACGAAGGCTAAGTGGAAATATTGAAGACAGCTCCTCGAACTATTGGGCAATATACACATAACGACAAAGCACTGAGACATTACAAATAGAGGGAGAATACATGCATGTACCATCCGTATTGTTGTGGAAGCACTCGATATACTGATAATCATGCATGGGGAACATTCTTCTGTTACTAACACTACCAATGTTCAACTTGAATGTTGGGTATGGTTTGCTGTTACAATTCAGTGTGCATGTATTACATGTACAAGCAAGACTGGGAACATGTTGACTTGTACTGTTGTACTGTTGTACTGTTGTACTGTTGTACTGTTGTACTGTTGTACTGGGGTTTATAGCGAGTACAATGTACACTGCAAACCTAGCGCAATCAATGTAAATCCTGCAGTTCTAGCTTGTACTTCCGGACTGATCCGACTCGTGTATGCAGGTCACGAATGTTCTGTTGGTGAACGAGGCCCTGTGGATGGGCACAACGTCTAGCTCCACTGCTAGTGTGATCTCAGTGGGTCGGGTGTCGGCCACCTCCTCCAGACCTGTTTCGCCTGATGGCTCGCTGAGTGCATGCCCGGATCACCGGCCAGCCGACGTGTCCTGTATGGAGCATTGGCAAGGCACTGTGCTGATTGCGGCCACGTGTGGCTGCATCTCGTCATTTACCCACGACCAGGAACACCGCTGGACATACCGACTGGTAAGAGCCTGTGCTGCTGCTGTGCAGAATGAAGCACTCACTAAGCATACGCTAGGAGGTTGCACAGCAGCTGTGGCGGCTGTGACGGCCGGCTGTGGTTGGTCTGGTGGCTGCGACGGCTGTGGTGGCTGCAGCTGGCACTGCTCACGATACTGCGTATGGTAGGGAACACATTGCCACTTGGAAAGAGCAGCTCACTCTACCATTGACTAATGGCACTTCGGATTGCTTTCATTTGGTCTTCCAAAGTACCGTTACACCGTTACACAGCTACCAGTATGCTATAATCCAGTGTGTGTGTAGTATGACTTGTGCTTTTAAAAGTCTGAGGTCATGTGGCTACAGAACTGTCAAATAAATTGAAATTAAAATTAAAATTTCACGGTTCGCGTGAGACTCGGCTGGAAGCCGGGTTTTCCGCATCCGTAGGAACGCCACCACCCTTCAAGGATCAAGGCGCAGATGCAGCTCCTAAAGCGGTGGGAGGTGAGTAGATCAGCTCGCCAGCAAGTGGTCAAAGACCGAAAATCCCATTCACTGCATCCATGTTTTCCTCGTGCCAGGCCACGAGTTCCTAATTAACTGTGGGTCGCAGCACGGCTGGAAAAAATCCTTCCGCTTCCAAGCAGGACTTGAACCTGGTACCCTCTGTTTCTCAATCATGGTCTTAGACCATCCCACTATGCCTGCCTGCCTAATAAATTGAAAATTAATATTAAAAGTAGAAAGGAAAAGGACATATGGAAATGAGTTAAGAGTAACTCTCCACCACTGTAACTAGATACTATATACAGTCAGAAAGTGCAACAACTAGGCACAAAACTGACAGAGTACTGAGACATTCGACGTCCTGACACCTAGCTTCAACACATCTCCGTAGCGCTAACAGACAGCCTTCCAACTTGGAAGGTTCAATATGTATATAGTATCTAGTTACAGTGGTGGAGAGTTACTCTTAACTCGTTTCCATATGTCCTTTTCCTTTCTACTTTTATTATTGGCTCAATACCCGAGTTTCAAATTAATATTAAAATAATCATTATGTATTTGCTCTGCACCCGTGTGTGTGTGTGTGTGTCTGTGTGTGTGTGTGTGTGTGTGTGTGTGTGTGTGTGTGTGTGTGTGTGTGTGTGTCTGTGTGTGTGTGTGTGTGTGTGTGTGTGGTGTGTGTGTGTGTGTGTGTGCGTGTGTGTATGTGCATGTGCCTGTACAGGATCAAGGTTTTGCGTCGGCCATGCTACGAGCCGGCGCTCAGCTCTGGGTTGCCTGTGGGCAGCGCATACTAGTGCTCAGCGATGAGACCGAGAGACATCTCACTGTAGCAACCACATTCCTCTCAGCTACCGAGTCGTTGGGCTGCTCTGATAGCACTAACTCGCATCTCAAGTCCCTGCAGTCAGGACTGGCATGCTCGTGGACCAGTGGATGCACTGAGCTATTGCTGTGGAAAACATCGTCCCTGACAGCAACAGTAACACCAACGACCACAGCACAAACCCTGGACAGTGCCGTTGCCAGTGGCAATCACGGAGTTGACGTGCCATCGAGAAGGAAACTGCTGCACATTCAGATCAACAGCCGCACCGCCCCCAAGTCAGCTGCGCTGTTTGGATGCAGTGAGGAAAATACTTCCATATCAGACGTTGTGCTGGCCAACAAATGCCTGTGGGTTGCCATGTCAACGGGCCATGTCTTAATCTACAATCTCCAAGGTAACGTCACTATACGTGTAGCAAGAAGGACCCATGAGGGTGTGTGTGTGTGTGATCCTCGGTAGTCGAATCGGTAGGGCACTGTCCTGGAAAGACAGGGGTGCTGGGTTCGAATCCCGCTCATGGATCCTTCTTTTGCAACATTGGCGCCTGGCAATGGCTCGACCCATCGTACCCCCCCCCCCCCCCCCGTGAGTAGGTACGGCGTGAGGACACAGCCTATTGGGGCGGGGGAGCAGTGTAGCAAGAAGGACCCATGAGTGTGTGTGATCCCCGGTAGCCTAATCGGTAGGGCACTGTCCCGGAAAGACAGGGGTGCTGGGTTCGAATCCCGCTCGTGGGTCCTTCTTTTGCAACATACGTTACTGTAAGACATGTATATATAACGAGGAAGCAAATCTAACGTTTTAACGGATGACATTTCTTCGTTATAATAAGATCCGTTGAGGCCGTACTGCTTCATATATGCTGTGTGTGGATATGGCAGAATACTGCAAGATCGTTAACATATCTTCTCGTTAACCTATGAATTTTGGACAATCGTTAAATTTGCGACTCGTTATAATAACATGTATTACAGTAGCTGGTGGCAGGACTGCTCGGCATGCTTGACCTGTATTTAGCGCATCATGAGAAAGGTCTTTGACCACTTTGTGGTGGGTCTGATCTACTTCAAGTACTCACCTCCCACAGCTTTAGGAGCTGCATCTGCGCCTTGATCCTTGAATGGCGGTGGCGTTCCTACGGATGTGGAAAACTCGGCCTCTAGCCAAGTCTCACGTGAACCGTGATTATTTTTAGAAAAGTAGACAGACTCCCGCAATATACACGTACATGCTACAAGCAGGCCCGGTCGAGGCAGCTCGACGTTGAGGGCTCGATACACTACCGTATTTCCCCGTAAGTTAGTTCTCCCCATTGACTTAGTACCCCCTATAAAAAATACACTTTCCGCTGCCGAGGTTATCACCCCGAAAGACAGTTCCCCCCGAAAGATAGTAAGTTCGTACCCGTCCTACATGTACAGACACCGTACAGTACATACAGTCATCATATGCACGGACACTAGAGTTGCGCAGGCTTCCCACTGCGTGTCATTTACCCCCGATAAAAAAGTACTCCCCGAAAGATAGTACCACCCCCGAAAGTTAGTACTCATGTGGCTGCTAAGTTCGAAAGTTAGTACGTACTAACTTACGGGGAAATACGGTAATGTGCAGAGCAGTATACTCAAGTGAATGTCGCTGTCTGATGATCCTGGAATGCGTAAAAACGTTTACAGTTACAGCTTCACAGACCTTCACCTCCACGGTGTTTGTGCTTTGCACATGGTACTGACTACTGTAGTGTCTTGTACACGATGCTACACATACATGATTGTACTGGTACGGTATTATATAACCCAATACTAGTACAATACTAGTACAATACTAGTATTAGATAAACCTTTGTTTCATGCTGTCAACCTAACAACATATGTACTGGTACGCAGCCGTGTGTTGGCAATGTTGCTAAAGGATAAAATGACACTGCACAGTATTCAGTGGCCAGTTAGTGTTGTGTGCAATGTGTGCCCGTGACGTGTGCTCAGCACTGGCTAACATGGATACACGTGTGTACTCCGTACTGGGTCCGTGCGCGTGGGTGCATGCACGTGTGCGTGCGCGCGTGGGTGCATGCACGTGTGCGTGCGCGCGGATGCATGCATGTGTGAGTGCGTGTGTGCATGCATACACGTTTGTTCTCGCAGGCGATGTCTTGACTTGGATTAGGCCGTTCAAGGGCAAAATCCTCTCACTGGCCAGACTACACAGTGACATGGACACTATCAGGCAAGAGTCTGTGCTGGGACTAGGACTGGATCCATCAACGCCTCAGAGCATAATAGGTGTGAATACTACATGTGCTGCCACCACAGCCACCACCACAGCCAGCAGCAGCACTAAAACAGAGGGACGACCGATCGCTGCCGTGGATGATGAAGCCAAAGAAGAGAGAGCTGCAGCGGCATCGCCATCGCAGCTGAGCATCCCGACCGCGTCCTCTGGCCGCCGCTCGCCTTATTCCTCGTCGACACACTCCCCCACGGGCAGCAGCAGCAATACCATGGAGCTGCGCAGCATCACCCGACGACTTGCCACTAAGACCCCTGCACCCACTGGCACTGCCGTAGTGCCGCAGTCAGCCATGCTATGGGATGCGGTGGACGAGGAGTTGCTGCGCTTACTGCATACCCGATCAAGACATCCAGAAGATGAGAAGGAACCGACTGCACCTGAACACTAGAAGCAGCCACTTGTCAACAAGCAAACCAGCTTGAGCTAGTAGAAAGGAAGCTGTACTCTTTCAAAAAAAGTTTCTATGTAGTTTTCCCCCCTTTATAATTTATAGGAAGTTTGCACATGGTAGCCTAGAAAAGGGTAGAGTGGAGATGTAGACAATGTGCAGCATAAAGTGTATGACCTTACGACTCGGCCATGATGTACATGTACTGCGCGTGACCTATGGACAAATGTGTTTGCTGATCAGACAAGGAGGCACTGCTGTCACTTCTTCCATTGTCCACAGCGGTTCATTGACCTACTCCCCACAAGTTTGCTTTGGCTGCATAATCAACACGGTTTATTCTATCACATTTCTTGCATTTGCAACCACGGTGATGTTTGCTGGTAATGTGATAGACTGTGATATTGCACATATTGGCACAGTAATGTGATAGACTGTGATATTGCACATATTGGCACAGTAATGTGATAGACTGTGATATTGCACATATTGGCACAGTAATGTGATAGACTGTGATATTGCACATATTGGCACAGTAATGTGATAGACTGTGATATTGCACATATTGGCACAGTAATGTGATAGACTGTGATATTGCACATATTGGCACAGTAATGTTTCGTGTACGTGTATGTGTGAGCTAACGGATTGTACTGTACTGAAGTACGTAGCAAACATTTGCCTAACTTATCTTCATCCTTGTCTTCACACGTATGGATTCAGCTACACAGACACTGTATTGTACTCCTTTTCTATTTAACACCTTTCACCAGCGCTGATGATACTCTCCACACATTGAGACATTTTTGCACACTTTTTTCACTCTTCCCATCACTGTCCTACAGCACCTCATGGTATATCTACTTTTAAAAATCGTTGTGTTTACATTTATCTTTCTGTTTCACCCTGATCGGGTAAGGCCCGAACATTCGGTGAATATTTCAAGTGACGTATGCGGCAAAGAGGCCGTGTTTGAGTGTTTGAGTTGAGGGACCCTAATGTGCAACCAACTGGAATACAATAACGGAATATTTATATTTTACTACTTTTGACCTGGACATTTTCCATTGCAATTATTTACCATATTAAAGTATTTTCAAGGGAGTACCACACTACATACTGTAAAAGCAGAAATTTTCGGTGGTGTAATATTTTCGGTATTCGCCAAAATCGGCGGTTCGGTAGCGGGAAATTTTCGGTAAAACCCGTTCTCCAGGTAGGTGTACTAGTACTACATGTATACAGTATCGGTTGTACCGAAAATTTCGGTGCGTTTTATTTTCGGTAAAAATTGTCGGCACCGAAGTTACCGAAAATAAAACACCACCGAAAATTTCTGCTTTTACAGTAGCCGTAATGGCAATCTTCTTTCCACGAGAGCCATGCCAGACTTCAATCCATAGGTTAGATAAAGCTACAAAAAGAACGGATGTCACTAAGAACATCACCCCTTTCGCCGCTAATGCATCATGCCATGTCCAGGAGCTGCCTGCAAGCTATTCTACCAGGCAGTGAACAGAACAGATACACAAGAGAGTGAACACTGAAACCAAAATGTCCTTACTGAGCGACGCAATAACAGCAGTGCCGGCAACATGACTCCATGGCGCACACAAATTATATTAAAAAAAAAAAAAGGTACATGCGATGATTAGCTTCAAACCCTTTCAGAGAAGAGGACGAGACAACAGATGCTCCACGCACGTACTGATTAAGACGTATGATAAGGTTTCGCAACGGCAATTTTCTTTCGGATCAGGTTGGCCAGCACTCGGACTCCAGAACGAAAAGCGCACAGGGCATATACCGTAAAGTCTTGTATAAAAGCCGCGGCTTCTATGACTTTCTTGGTGAAATTTTGCAGGCTTCTATATGAGACAGGCTTCTATACAAGACAGGTATTTCTATGTATGTCAACACTAAAACCAGGCTTATGTGTGATTTGATGGGCCCAAAATTGCGGCTTCTATTCGAGGGCGGCTTCTATTCAAGTGCGGCTTTTATACAAGACTTTACGGTAAGGGCATAATAATAACATATCAGAGTTCAGGTTCATGGTCAAGCTAGTCATGTTAATTAGGGCAAGATTTTAGAAAATGACATCTTCCAAGGATACGGGGAAGAAAATAGGAATGAACAGAGCTGCGAAAAGCATGATTATTGAGATGAGTATGGCGGGCAATGCGGAGATGTAAATAATGAGTATAGGCGCAATAAACAACATGCAGCTGCTACATACAATGCCCCACAAAGGTGTTCATATACAAATGAACTACAATGAACACGGTGTACATGCACACTGCTAAACACGGAATGGGCTAAATGGTGGGCAGTGTGTATGACAACCTGGCATGTAAAGCAGGGGGGGGGGGGACGAATGGAGGTGGGTTATGATACAATGTATGTACACACGCACAGGGTCAACTACATCTGCAACGGCACAAAGCCAGGTTGGCTAGAGGTACTATCAGCTGGCCAACACTGTGCGCCAGGCCATTTAGGCATTTACCACTCATCATCATCATAAGTTTTAAAAGCAAACACACGCATACACATATACTGTACACATACTGTACACATATACTGTACACATTGTACACATGGCAAGTACGTACATGACCACAGCACAGGGCACGTGGGAGTCAGGAAACAGCTGTGCTGCTGCTGCTGCTGCTGCTGCTGCTGCCACCACCAACACTTGAGAAGCAAATGTGCCTGGCTGGTGCGGCTCGTCTTACGTTTCAGAGGATCTGAGCATGAGAAACACAAACGGACAGTCACGCTCAGAGCACAGTCATGTCCAATAATATAAATACACTGCATATCACAGTGCATATCACAGTACTGAACGGAAGACTGACATGTTGCACCAACAAGGCAAAGTCCATAACAAGTTTTTCAGAAGAGAATGGAAGCGAAGAGTTTCAAAGCACACAGTGTACTGGTCAGGAGGGTAAGCAGCAGCAGCAGCAGCAGCAGCAGCAGCAGCAGCAGCAGCAGCAGCAGCAACAGCAGCAGCAGCAGCAGCAGCAGTAGCAACAACAACAGCAGCAGCAACAGCCGCAGCAGCAGCAACAGCAACAGCAGCAGCAGCAGCAGCTTTCGGCCTGTTCAGCAGTTCATTATTAATGTATATTGTAGTTCTGAAAGGCTCTGACGAAGAGTGATTGATACATCTCAAAAGTACAACTCACACGAGCGTAACAGAGCAAAAAGAACGCAAAAGGTTGAATATGCAACACAGTCGCCATCACAGCTGTCCGCACCACCCACCCCGTCAGCTCAAACGCCAGCACAGCTATCAGTACAGCCACACACAGCCAGCACGAACAGCGGCAAGCAATTGCCGCAACCCTATTCAGAAGCTGGGACAGGCTGGTGCAGTATGAACTTTACGCCCTTTGTTGATTATTGCGATTGCTCTAGATTCTAAGATAGCTGTCATCCTATTTGATACCAGCACAACAAAATACTAGTAGTGGTGTATTGTACAAGTTGTGAGTCTATCCTGGTTACCCTGGTTACCCTGGTTATAAGTGGGGATTGCGTGCGCATGTGCTGGTCAGAAGCATTTTTTGTTGCTCTCATTTTACTCGGGAATATTCGCGGCCAGAACGTCTCACGGCAACCAGCACCTGCGCCGGGTGTGGCTGCGCAAAGGAAGGGCGACATGGGGGAGTTGTGCTTCTAGTCGTAAAGGGAGATGCAGGAATAGCTCCGCGGGATGCACCCCTTCTCAGCCGTCATCGTTCATCAGCCATCCAACGTCCCAAACGTCGTCGGCGTACCAACCATCGCCTGCTCTCAAACTGTTGACCCCAGTTAGCTTGTCAGGTACGACAGAGCACCACCGTACGAGACCATGAGCTTCACGAACAGGACCAGGTGGCAGCTACTTCTAGCAACATGATCACAGACAGCCAAGTAGCTCTGCTAGCGGCAAGGTGTTGAAGCCCTTCGTCCCTTCCAACAGGTCGTTGAATGTGAGGTCGTTGAATGTCTCAGTAGCCTGTCAGTTTTGTGCCCTGTTATCGCACTTTCTGACTGCTTATTATCTTGTTACAGTCGTGGATAGTTGCTTCATAACTCGTTCCCTAGTGTTTTTCTTCTATTATAAGTTTCATTTCATTTTTATTATCAGTTTGTTTGTTTGTTTCTTGGTTTTTCATCCGGTTTTATCTATTATTTAAAATAATTATGATTTGGTGCAACTTTCGCGCTCTGTGGTTTAATAATGATTCCCATTTTTCTTAATATTGTTTAACCCGACTGCTGCATGGACAATAAGTGCTGCGAATAGTGATCATGCACCCTGGCCTGAGTAGCTCGCTTGGCTAATTGAAAGTCTGCTGACCTGGGCCACATTATGTTGCTAATACATGCACAACCCCAGTCACAGCGCACAAGTTGGTTGAATTTGGCCGTCAGGAGGCCAGTGCAAGGTATCCGGGGCGCGGGTCTGATTCCAGCGAGGGGCAATGTGGTACCCCGCAGCGCAAGGGTAGCGTGATACCCTAAGCCAACGTGCGCGCTGCATGAGTAGCGTGATACTCGCCGAGCGCTTTTGCTGTTGCCTAGCAACGCGTTTCTGTCTTTCCTGGGCCCCCAAATGCATGTTGGGTGGCCCTGCGCATGACTGCACGTTGTCATAGCAACCTTGGAAATCTCAAGCCGGTTACCAACAAGCTAGGAATCAGACCAAGCCGCCGAATGCCCCCGCCGCTTCATTGCAATTGAATTAATATTTTGTCCAGAATAGTGAGCTAGGACAGATCAAATACAATGTAGCTTGGAGTACCATCATACTGAGTGGCACTCATTGTGAGACGTAGGAAAGTGTAGAGCGATAATAAATACAGTAGGTATCGGTTATAGCGTGGGTGTTTGAAAAACGACTGTCTATTCTTATTTCCGATATTTCTTACACACGATAAATCAAGTGTGGCATATCAAATGCATGTACGCAGGGGCAGGAAGATCATCGTACATGCAACGCAGTACTTCTGTGCATGTGGCTGGTCATAGTCCCATAGGCTTACCATGTGGCTATGCAACATGGGTTACATGACCACAATGGTTGAATCTGCAGCACTACGACGCAACGAGTCAGATCAGAACGGAATTGGACAGATGTTATTACTACAGGCGATACACTTTGTACTAATCTGGCATGTTTCGCTACACAAAGTCCATTCTTAGGACCGATATATTCTACTATGGGATAAAATTGCTTGTAAGAATAAATATGCACTTGAAATCCATGTTATGATTATGAAAACATGAGAGTTTTATTCTTGTAGGCAGTATATTCTTTTACACGACCACGCTATAACCGATACGCACTGTACCAGGAGGCGTGGGTGGGAGGGAGAAATTGCAAAACAGTTGGATGCACGCAGCAGCACAGCTAGCAAGAGAAAGAGCCGTGGATGGGTTTGTTCCTGTTTTTGACGGCTGTGGCCATCCGTTGGCCCAACGGTCTCGTGTGAGTACGGCGTTTGTTTGTGCTGCCAGCTCGCGCCCGGCGTTAGTTTGTGCTGCCAGCTCGGGCTCGGTGCGCGAGTGAAACCGAACCGTGACAAAGGCTTTCGCTCTTTAGTGCCATTGACTGGCTTTTTATACGATGCCTATTGATGTCTAGAGACATGCTGTCTAGCCTTCCCCTGGTACGCATTCACGGGGCTTTGTTGAAGTTCGCGCCGTGAACTGCCGAAGGGAATTGTTTGAATGGTGCTGGGGCGAGTGCGGCATTACGGCGTCCCTGCAGCCGGCCTAATCGCGTTTGTCGCCACAACCGATTATATTATAGCGCTTTTGGGGTGTTATCATTTTCTTTTCTTCTTTATACACACCAAGTTAGTATTTCATTCTCCTGTTTCCTCACCTGTTTTCTGCCTCAGCACTGAAAAATTTGGTCTCATGTAAAAAATCATATTGGCCTGAAAAAAAACCCTAAAAATCCCGACAACCCCCCCCTCCTCATTACTTGGAGCCTTGGTTTCCCGGTTTAACGATAGCTCACCAAAAGCTTGACCAGAAGATCGGTCTGTTTTTTGTTTGTTTGTTTTTGTTCTTTTGTTGTCTTGAGCACTTCTTTATAGATATATGGAGCAAGAAATGGCCGTTCATTGGTAGGGTATTGGGACATTATCTTCCCGGATGCCGCTCTGAAATATACCGGATTTTGCGATTTTTTCCAGAAAAGTTTAGGTGACTTCTCCATAGGGCGTATCATGTTAGATAGCTTAGCATAATAACAATATCATGATCTAGTTGCTGGAGATAGGCCTCCTGTACAGAGAAAGATCTCTACACAACAGATTCCAGCCATTCCGCCCTGTACAATGTTCCATAGTGCACCACTCACCTCGGTCACAATACCGGCTGCAACAGTAGCATTACCGGAGCGCAGCATGAACCGACCGAGCTCCTTGAAGTCCTTGTAGGCTTCAATGCACACCGGGCGTGTCGTGTGAAGTTCAACGATGGCATTGCTATGCTTGATCAGGCACCTACAACAACAACAACAACAACACAACACAACACCCACGTGCACACACAAAAACACGAGTTTGTTTCGCCTCTCTCCTTCCTCTCTCCCAAGGCATCCGCCTCCCGAACGAGAAAGCACGCATCCATAGACTCTTTGCTTTGCTGTGGTCCTGCTCCCTCCCTCAAACTGTCTGCTGGGATGGACCTTTGGCTGCACCTACATGTATAGCACCCAGTCTGGCATCTCGGATCTGCTCCAGAGCGGAGCGCGAATGAAATTACAAGGTATGTATACAAACAATCAAGAAAACGCAATAAAAGCCGCTGGACATAGGCCAATATTCCTATGCCACTATGTGATGTCAGCACGCCTTTGATAGAGACAGGGTCAAGGGTTTTATAAAGCCAACACGTGTGCCTGATGTGTGCACCGACAAGTCGCAGCAGCTTGATCAGACGATGACAAGCGACCAGTTCAAAGCCAAAAGAAAGAGAAAATTAATGTAATTTTCAGATCGGTACGTAGAGGAGGTCAATGTCCCTTGACCTAGCAGACGTGAGTTTACTCAGTTTGAACATTTCCAGCTGCACATCTGTCTGTGTTCGCAATTAGCAATCTAAACTCGGTGCATGTTGTCCAGGTATACTATACAGCACAGTAACTCAGGTCACTCAACATATGTGATACTCTCCATTACGCCCAGGACAGAAGCTCTTGACACTATGAGCATTAAGCCAGATCATAATACAGCTGACATTAAAAATCGCCCAAGGAAGCATCGTTTTAAAAGTTCGTCACAAACCTTGGCTTTTTCTTGGTGACCGCGCCATTCTTTCCAAGGAGACTGACCAGACGCTTCATGATGGCAGGCTCACTGACGGTTTGATAATGCAGCATCACCTACACGTGCGGAAGTAAGAAAGCACACGTGTTCCATTGACAAAAGACTAGAGAAAGCACACGTGTTCCATTGACAAAAGACTAGAGAAAGCACACGTGTTCCATTGACAAAAGACTAGAGAAAGCACACGTGTTCCATTGACAAAAGACTAGAGAAAGCACTTTAAAACCAGCCAAGGAAATGCTTCGAAACCAGTATGCGTGTGAAATGGTTTACTTGAGTAAATGTTAGGACTTGAAGTTATAATCAGGAGACGCATGCGGGCCAGCACATCATGCACAAGCGTGCATGCATACACACACACACCACACATGACCACACACACACACACACACATACACACACCACACATACACACACACACACACACACCACACATACACACACCACACATACACACACCACACATACACACACACACACACACACACCACACATACACACATGCACACACACACACACGCACACACACACACACACACACACACACACACACATGCGCACGCGCGCAGCCTTCTCCGGTATGAAGTGAGAGTCGAGTTCGGTGTAAACACTGATGATGGAGCTGCCATGACAGAAGATATCGATGATGGGGGTATTCAAATCGCTTAGAGCAGCGCCAAGAGCAAAGGACAGAGGCGCCGGCTGCTACTGAAGCGTAAGATTAGCAGTGAATCCGGGCTACCACTTCCCAACATTTTCTTTAAGTCAACAACCCACACGTTGATACAGTCAACTTCGTTAATAACGACTGCGGATATAACGACAATTCGCGAATAACGACATAATTTTCATGCCCGGAGCAAAGTCCCATCCAACTGTGACACATTTAATGAGACTTCGGATATAACGACACTTCGCGAATAACGACACTTTTCTGATGCCCCGCCGAGTGTCGTTATAAGCGAAGTTGACTGTATATATATTATGATAATATTAATCTGGCACAAGTCAGTACATGTACTAGCAAGAGTGCATAAACAAGAGTATGCAACTGTGGTTATGGGTCAGTGCGCGGCGCGCTGCCTTCATTACGTAACTTGTCTTCATCACGCTCTGAAAGCATGCATTCAAACTCACAATTTCTCGTACGAGCCCATCTGTTTTTGCTCGATTCGTTCCAGTACCCACGCGATCTCTAAATTCTGGCGCGTGAACTCAAGTTCGTACGAAAGTTCATTTCAAACCAGAGGAAAAGTGCGGTGTTTGGTTTTCCGCAGTGCGCGAACTGCAGCTGAATGATGTAATAAAGGCAGCGCGCCGCGCATCTGGCCCATAGAAAAGAGATCACAGTTGCATACTCTTGTTTATGGACTCTTGGTACTAGACATGACAAGTAGGCATTACATGATGAGAATAACTTCATACCTGATATCCCAGAGTGATGGGCACATCGATATCGAAAACAACAATGCGTGCACGGAAGCGTGTGGTGGACGGTATAGGTAGCGAGGGGCTGCACAGTACCATGCCAACACTGCACACACACACACACACACACACACACGCGCGCGCACGCGCGCAGCCTTTTCCGGTATGAAGTGAGATTTACTTTCTACTACATGTACTTTGGCTCCCCAAGGGAAAACAAGTCAGTGGATACATGTACTTTGGCTCCCCTAGGGAAAACAAGTCAGTGGATACATGTACTTTGGCTCCCCTAGGGGAAACAGTCAGTGGATACATGTACTTTGGCTCCCCAAGGGAAAACAAGTCAGTGGATACATGTACTTTGGCTCCCCTAGGGAAAACAAGTCAGTGGATACATGTACTTTGGCTCCCCAAGGGAAAACAAGTCAGTGGATACATGTACGAGTATAAAGGTCTAAATTGCAGCAGTTTAGTTTCTACCCAATCCCAGTAACTAGGTGATGCTGTGAGATGCACTTACGCAATCTCGGTCATATCAGCACCAGTCAGGGTAACGTTGACAAAATCGCCAGCACATGCCCACTGCACAGACTCATCATGCAGACTCAGTGCTGTCACAATGAAAAGAGAAGAAAAACAAACAGCAATGGCAACAATGATGATGATGACGACGACAATAACAACAACAATGACGACAGCTGAACACCTGCACCAGGGGTCAGTGACTGAACCCGTATCACAGATCCAGATATCCGAATGTGTTACGAAAATGGACACAATCACATGGGTAAGTACTGGCACTTGCACAAACCTTTGCAATTGGCTGCTACGGATGCTGGAATGACATTCACTCGATCCAATACTTGAACAGCTCCAGACTCGATTTTGCCAGATACCGTAATGCCACTGCCCATACCTACACACATACACACAAGCGCACACAAACACACAGGCGTACGCACACACATACAGCAGCAGGCAGATGAAAGTAAGAAGGTTACCATCAAAACTAAACAGAGCTTGTCAGCTTGCCTGCAGGATGCACAACTGCAGTAACATGTACAAACAATACAGAACAAAACTTAAAGGCAATATGGATTTTTGAAATGCCAAAACCACAACCTATTGTAGAAAGCAGATGGGAAGGCGCGCAGACAGCCACGGCAGTTACCTTTGAAGACATCAGAGATGAAGAGCCTGAATGGTCGCCGTATTGCTCTCTCGGCTATCTTGAACAAATCTACACAAACCAACACAAACACAGTCTCAAACATACTGTCTTGGTCTACTAAGGCTGTGCGCAGCTAGCTGTATGCATATTACTAAGGCTGTGCGCAGGTAGTCGGGTCTACAGTGGTCTACATGTATGCATATTACTAAGGCTGTGCGCAGGTAGTCAGTCGGGTACCCGTGCTACCCGTGCACCTTCAGTGTAATCAGATAAGAAACAACGTCACAAAACTTGCTGGTTCTGAGAAATCGCGAAGATTTGTTGATGAAAACATTGGGCGGTTTACAGTAAGTACCCGTTGTGCCTGGCCACAAGTTCCCACTTGACTATGGGTAGCAGCACAGCTGGACAAAACTGCTCACAGGCAGGAGAACCCTGTCGCTTCTCAGTTTTAAAAGGTCTTAGAACAACCCACTTTGCATGCCTGGTCACTACTGGCACAAGGACTGGAGCTTATTTCTTGGTCTGGTTTCTTCAGTGTCTGGTCTCTTGCTTACGTGCATATTTTAAAGGGGAAGTTAAGGCAAAAATTAAAATTTCACCAGTTGTAGTCTTCGGGGTGCTGAGTCGAATGGTCTTGGTCCGAGAAAGCTGAGACGCTCCCTTCCTACTTGAATCCCAATCGAACTCGCGCACTTCCACCGAAACTGGGTGACTGCGCCCTACTAGATGGGGATTTGTATGCAAAATGTCACTAAAAGCGCCATTTCGTTCTTATAAAAGCACGGATGACCGCGATTGGCCCATATGTTGTAGTCTTTTGGACGCTGAGTCGACTGGTTTTGGTCCGAAAAGGCTGCGATGCAGCGTTCCTCCTTTATTCCCAATCGAACATGGTTGAACAAGCGGTCACGTGCTCCTGGGTGCCCAAATCACCAGGTCACCACGCCAGCAGGCGACAACTTTCACACCAAGGTTCAACTCGAGTGACAGGACTGCACCCAAAAAAGGTCAAACAGGCTAGTAAGTTGTACCCTGCAGGCACGGTGACCAGGTGACTGGCGTACGCAGGAGCACGTGACCGCTTGTTCAACCATGTTCGATTGGGTATAAAGGAGGAACGCTGCATCGCAGCCTTTTCGGACCAAAACCAGTCGACTCAGCGTCCAAAAGACTACAACATATGGGCCAATCGCGGTCATCCGTGCTTTTATAAGAACGAAATGGCGCTTTTAGTGACATTTTGCATACAAATCCCCATCTAGTAGGGCGCAGTCACCCAGTTTCGGTGGAAGTGCGCGAGTTCGATTGGGATTCAAGTAGGAAGGGAGCGTCTCAGCTTCCTCGGACCACGACCATTCGACTCAGCACCCCGAAGACTACAACTGGTGAAATTTTAATTTTTGCCTTAACTTCCCCTTTAAGCAATGGCACGATGGTTGTAATTCAAAAATATAAATGACAGTTTGTTCAGCATGTCAACTCTTTGCTTTCCCATGGGCATTATAGACTGTTCTAGTGAAGAAAACCATTCAAAGACAAGAGAAGAGAAAAACCTGTCCTGCTGGCATGCTTACTTATGGCCTCCAGGAGGCATGGTCCACTGTACCAGGCTGTCAACTGGCCGCATGTAGAGCGCTTGTCCAGATTTTCACCAACGAGGCCGCTGCACGGAATGTACGACACATCGGATTCCTGCACAAGAAACCAAAGGCGCGCACACATGCACGGTTGAAGGGCAAGGTAACAGTGCCTGACCACCATTAGTCCACATCACAGACATGTACATGTATTGGCTCTTTAGCATTTCATCAGAGCTAGATCTATTAATATCTAGGCAAGAAAAAAAAGCCAGCAAAGCCTATTTATTCAGCCAGATAAAATCAACACGACAGTGACAATGCTGCAGCTGAGAAATGCACAAGTTCCCACATTCTGAACACCAAGCCACACATGTGACCACATTCTGAATGCCAATATGCACTAGCAGCAACCACCATCAGCAGTACAATGTACACACCTTGAAGCCAGCCTGGCGCAGGAATGTCTTCACCCGGGACACGATCTCTTCAAAGCGATCCGATGACCAATCCATCTTAGAAATGGCAATCCGGAGCATCGAAAGAACCACAAAGACACACACGCGCGCGCGCACACCCACACACATACACACACACCATTTGACCATGTTGACGCCCATCGCCGGAGGCCCTTTGTGCACTGTTCCTTGCTGAAAGCAGAAGGAGTTGACTGTCAGTTTGTATGAAGGTCAGCATAAGTATACTACATCCCACTAGTACGCTTGTACGTGAAATAAAAACCATCATACAAACCTCGGCTGTGCCTCGGTTTGTATATCGGTTTATATTTCACGAACAAGCATACTGTTGGGATGTATTATATACGTATCTTGCTACAAGTATCATTGGACATCCAGCACAACACAACACAGACAGGACCGGCATGATGACATCACAGAGGCAACATACCGTGTCAAGCTTGTTAATGACAACGGCGACTTGCTGCACCCCCAGTGAGCGCAGCAGCAGACTGTGCTCGCGCGTCTGCCCGCCAGCCTCGAAACCAGACTCAAAGCCGCCGGCGCTGGCGTCGATGACCAGCAGAGCTACATCGGCTTGAGCTGCACCAGTGATTGTGTTGGGTATGAAGTCGCGATGGCCTGGCGCGTCCAGCAATGTCACTATCTTGTTGTCCGTTTCAAACTGCATTATGCCCACATCCATTGTGATTCCGCTAAGAGCAAGACACACACACACAATACATATAACAATCAAGCAGAGAAAGGGTCCACAGAGCATACTACCTACACCACGTTGAGGGGCAGAACAGTAACACTGGCAAGTGCCAGTGGGTCAAAGTATCAAACTGCACACACATCCATGCAAAATACTGGTACATGCATCATAAAGATTTCACAGATTCCACAATGTACATTGCATTCCACTCTAGAAACAGCTAGCAAGAGAAGTAGTCGAAGAGGAGTGACCCAAAGGGCACAGACAACTGGAATGGCACAATACTCACCGCGACCGTTCTTCTCCCGTCTCATCCAAAACCCAAGCATAGGCGAATGATCCCTTGCCAACCTTCTTGCTCTCAGTCTCGTACCTAGCGGTGACAGGAAGGATACCAAGCATGCCAGGGCAAGAACAGCAATACAATCATGTACATTGTACTAGTAAATAGATTGATAGCAAAAATCGTAAGAGTAAGAGGAATAGCGAGAGGTAGTCAGAATCAGACAGGATCCTGAAAAGATGACCCCCCTGGCTATTGCATCACCCAGCGGCTAATCTACACCCCTCCCATTGGCCCACCTGTACCCACATACATGTACATGGAGACAGACAAGGGGTCGGTCCTGTACGTACTTGTGCATAGTCCGCTTGCCCACTGTGCCAAGCTTGACGAGAAGATGACCCATTAGCGTGCTCTTTCCAGCATCCACGTGACCTGATGCCCAAGCCAATAGCCAATCACAGGGAATGTGCAACAACAACAACAACAACAACAACAACAACAACAACAACAACAACAACAACAACACCAACACCACCAACACCAACACCACCAACGAACACCAACGAACACCAACGAACAACAACGAACAACAACAACGAACAACAACAACGACAACAACGACAACAACAACAACGACAACAACGACAACGACAACGACAACGACAACGACAACGACAACGACAACAACAACAACAACAACAACAACAACAACAACAACAACAACAACAACAACAACAACAACAACAACAACAACAACAACAACAACATCATCATATTTCATGTCAGCATAGATGAGGGACTGCAGCAGTCTGGGCTGCTTCATTATCACACCTAACAGACACAGATTGCAACAGGTGTGAAGAGAAACTAAGAGAACCAGCACACACATCACCACCCAGCACAGCTGCAGATAAATCCTTGCATACCAACCCACCCAGTGGTGTGCACCCAATAACGAGCATCACGCCGCACTTACCAACGACAACCATGTTGATTAGCTCTTTGCCCGCCTGACGTTTAGCATACTCGGCCGCAATGTCTACCGCCTAATGAAAGCATATGCACATACACACACACACACACATACACATACACACGCAAACACACCCATTAGAAAGATGAACAGTTCGATCATGTTGACACTCGTAGCCCAACCTACCACTGGAGTGACCTCTCGGGAGATTACTGAAGAAGCAGAGAACTTAGCCGGTGAATAATTTCGTCCAGCTCAGAAAGGTGCAATGCAGCTTGTCCGGTTGAAACTTGAAAATTTTGTCCACACACAAGGACACCTACCAAAAGGCTGGATAAGTTGCCACTATTCTGGCATTTCACTTACTGATTTAGTACAAAATAACAAAATTAAATTCCCGACAAATAGCTCCGCATAGCATGCACTATGTACTCTTGCTGCACGTCTTACTTCATAGTTGCTCTTGAATCCAGTCTTGTTTGACAGGAATGGTTAGTTTCTCTGTGCCTCTCTAGCTTTCACCATGAATGATGCCGTTCCCAGAATCACAAACATTCTAGCTTGACTCGTCTACTTCTGCAATGCGAATCCATTGCATTCAGTCTCAAAATATTCTTCACGGCGTTTATTTTCGCGCTCTGGGCTACTTAGACTTGAAAATTGTCTTTGTTTTCTTTTGTGGAGAATGTCATATATATAATTATATGACTTGCACGCGTAGACACTATTCACGTGATCGGGTGACTGCATGCTCAATCGCAATACACAGGAACTTGGCTAGTGTGCTTAGCGGTCACAGCAATCCGTTTTCTTTGCTTTGTCTTCTTCTTGGCCCTTTTGTCGATAAACCACATGGTCGCCATTTTCTACATGATTTTGATGCGCAGCTGCATGTTACTACGAGATCCTTTTCGCCAGTGATTCGTCCTGCGTGAGAGAACAAACTATACTTTGAGGGAAACGATAAAAAAAACCATGATCTGTCTTTGGTGCCGGTTGCTTTGCGACCAGTTAAAATATGAGCGGGCGTCACGAGTGCATACGCCTTGAGGAGAACTCACTGCCTTGCTTCTCCTCCCGGAACCAGCCGTGTCCTCGGCGATGGATGAGTCATCTGCCTTCGTTGACACTTGCGGGCTGATAGATCGCAAGTCAGCACGACTTGTAGCTGGGCTGGATGTCATGCTTGACCTGAGAATGAACACAACACCAAAGACATAACCCTACAAACAAACAAAAAACAACCCCGCCATATCTCCTGGTCTTCTGCAAGCAGGAAGAATTTGTGTAGATAAATAAATTACAGATGGGGCAAGTGGGACTCTACCTCAAGAAAAATCATTAGCAGACAGCTCAGTGCACCCTGGCAACGTACTCATGACGTCACATTCACGTACCGCAACTATACATACATGTATACATACAAGTACTCTAAGAACTCACACGCTCCACCGCAGCTGTTTACACGCCACTCAATCTAAGTCATTCCTAACACACACCCCATTGGTCTCTTTTCTGCAAATAAACCCCTCTTCTTCTGACACCACATTTTCCGGTCTGGCCCATCCCCAGGGCGTACAATCAAACTGAAGGCAAACAAGCAAGAAATGTAATAGATAAACTGTGAAGTGTAAAGGAAGCAGTGAATGATGTTGAGAAATGTATCAGCCATGGTGTAACTTATGTCTGGAGAGTAAGAAATCTGGCGATAAGGGAGGGGGAGAGAAGTGCGGAGCTGTGTATGTGCGTGGATGTGAGTGGATATCAGTGTGAATTATAATGCGGCGCTTGAGCCACAAGAGTGACGCCAAAGCGAAGACACATTGTTGCGAAGTACTATACAACAAGGTGGCACACACATATAAAACACATAATGACATGTATTGTGGCATCAAGTACGACATGCAAAAATTAGTCAAAGTCTGTCATTTCACCTACACACATACATGTACACAGCTCCGCACTTCTCTCCCCTCCCTTTTCACCTGCTCTTTTAGCCTTCACACCTAGGTAACACGTTAGCTGGCACACTTCTCAACACCATTCACAGCTTTTTTTTTTATTCCACACCGCGGATTCTCTTTATTGTTTGCCTTCGGTTTGATTGCACACCATGGTGATGGGCCAGGCAGGAAAATTTGGCATTAGAAGAAGAGGAGTGTGTTTGCAACAAAGAAACCATTGAGTGTGTGTGTTAGGAGTGAGTGGTGATTAACACACAAGTTCATCAGCAACGAGAGAGCTTGGAAGCTCAGGGCCCTACGCTATGCTTTTTTGCCTAGCGAGAGTCAACTTTCTCTTTGCATTCGAGAGTAATACGACGGCGCCGTCTACCACCTTAATGACCTAGGCAAAAAGGCATTAAAAAAATCGACGGGTTCGCGTACCGGGGAGGTCAAGAACAAGGAGTCGTACAACTCCCTGGTCAAGAACCACCTTTCCGCTTCATAGGCATAGGCATAGGCAAAGGCATAGGTACGTTATAAATTTTTCATTTCTCCTATTTTTTAGACATAACCTAGGATTCGAACCCGCACCATCGCCCTGCATGCATTCCTCCGATACACTTCGCATACATACTCATTCTTCCAAGTTGCTTCACGTTATGATCTTGCATTTGAAAGCCCTATTTGAATATTGTGGCCAGTTGTCTTTGATGGTACGGTACGGGACAGGTACGGTATAGCGCCAGGCATGCCGATGCGCATATTATAATTATGCTGTCCTTGATGGTACGGTACGGGACAGGTACGGGATGCTGTCCTTGATGGTTCGGTACGGGGCAGGTACGGGATAGCGCCAGGCATGCCAATGGCACAAACAAACAAACACGAAATTAAAGCTGTGTGGACCCTGGCTAGCGCCCTTTTGCATAACTACGGGAATAACACAGCAATAACACAGCACGTGTACGGCGGGCAGGAAGTAGTCTGTGAGACATGGGCGAAGTTGCCTTTCTTTTATAAACTTTTTAAAATACTAGAATGGGTAGTTGAGGTGAGTGTGCTGATACGTACGGCTTGCTATTTGCGGCTGATAGCGCTGGCGATAAGCATGCGGCCGGTGAAGAAGGCATACGACTGCCTGAACAGTGCCATCACAAGCAACAAAGAAGAAGAGGAGAACAAGTCAAGCATGTAATCTCTGAGGATGCATAACTACCATACCCAGTTTGACACTTTTTTTAATTAAAAACACACGCACACACACACACACACACACACACACACACACACACACACACATACACACACACACACACACACACACACACACACACACACACACACACACACACACACACACACACACACACAAGCAAAGCCACTGTAAACAGCGGGTAGGTCAGCAAAATACCTAATGCATCAGCAATGGTGGCCAACTTCGACATATCCCCAAACAAACACAGCAGCCAAATATTGGCACACGCAAAAATAGACAGGATCGAGTGGCACCTAAACACTAAAGCACCAACGGAAGAACACACTTACAAATAGTTGCTGAGGCCGAGGCGGTAGACACCTGTGCGGATGACGGTACAGCCATTGTGACTACAGGTGGAGGTGGTGCTATGTGCAGACTATAGTTACCTGAATCAGCAGCATCAACAAGGGGCGATTACAAATAGTGCTGAAACAATTATATCGATTACTCGTTACTTATTCGATAAGAAATAAATCGAGCGGTTGGTTTGATTTTATCGGCTGAACGAGTAGAACGGTACTTACGCTCGGTACGGGATCTCCCCCCTTTCGGGGTCGCATAAAGCGTGCATAGACCGAAAGTGGTGCGAGTACGACACGCCTATGTACATGACTGTACACTTGCAATATCGATGTACGTGTAAAAGTACAAGCGTGATCTGAGAAACATCAACGCGATCACAGTCGTCGTGTTTTCAGCTGACTGCTTCTTACGTGCAACATGCAGGACTGGCAGGCTCAGTACGTGTCTACACTAGCTGCAAGGGCTGGAGTTCCCTCCACATATCACATGCGAGTAGTCTTGAGCTATAGACAGTAAAGTAGTCTTTAGTTTCGTGTTTTCCGTCACAGTCTGTCGACGGTTCGCGAACCAGTTCACTCAACTACGAGCTAGGCCTGGCGTCTGGGCCTATTGTGAACACAGACAGGAAAAGCAACTAGTTACTTGTTGGCGTGCCTCAAGTCAGCTCATCCGTCGAAATCCGCCGATCTGCACCCCTTGCCAGCTTCTCTGACTTCACTGTCGAAGTCAGCGAAGTCACAGGCGAAGGGCACCATCAGCTCTTGTGTTGCAACCAGTGTGTCGCCTCTGTCTTGTCTGTATTCGTCTGGTCAGCCCGAACAGCTGACGAACTTATTGCGAGATCATCAGATCTATGTGCCCGCTTTCTGTCGTTGGCGATTGTTCTGGAATATTCCCAGCTTGTGGTGAATCTTGCATGACCTTTCATTGTACTCAGGTTTCATTTCTTTTATTCTAGTGCATGCTGCTGGCGCCTGATGTATTGACTATTGTTACCGCAGGCCAGTCTCAACCTTTGCATTGTCTGAGATTCAAGTAGTGTATCGTTTGATGCATGTGCTGTCTCCATGCTATCTAGTCGTAATATATTCACTCGTCTTTGCATTTGTGCACAGTCCTGTGGATACTCGCAGGCTGCGATTGCGCTCTCGCTTTGGTCATTCTAGAATGTATACTTCCATGCCTTTGAAGTTTTTTAGTTGTCAGTTTTGAACTGTAGGAAGCAGTTTACAGTTTTTGTTCTTGCAGTTTTATCTCAGAGGAGAAAGTTCTTGGTCTCATACTGTTACGAGTTGCTGTTGTATCTGGTTGAACGCATGCCGGGGCAACAGAGGGCAGCATGAGTAGCCATAGTGGTCCTATTCGAGCCGGATCTCAGAGCCAGATCCAAGAAGTCCTGCGTGACGACGAGCAAGTCCCAGGCGCTGAGTGTAGACGGAGCTCGCGGTCTACCAAAGGGAGACCGCCGAGCAGATACGGGTTTGATAACTGGAGTGACGTTCCGGACAGCGTGAGCTCTGCAGGACATGCGCCCTCGAAAGTTTCAGGAACTGCTGCGTCGCAGGCGTCACTTCGTGCAGAGATGCTTCGTGTAGAACTTGAGGCTGCAAGGCAAATCGCTGAGCTGGAGGAGGAAGCCGAGACACGCAAGTTGGCTCGTGAGACAAGTTTGGTGCAGAAGGAACTGGAGGTTCGAAGAGCCGAGGCTGAATCTGCAGCTGCACTACGATCCGGGTCAGGGAGCAAAGTGTCGTCTCGCAAATCAGAGACTGGAAACGCTGCATCCAGTGGCAGGGCAATATTGACTGCCAAGAGTCTTGCTGAGCACGACAAGTTGGTCGACCGAGGCTGAATCTGCAGCTGCACTACGATCCGGGTCAGGGAGCAAAGTGTCGTCTCGCAAATCAGAGACTGGAAACGCTGCATCCAGTGGCAGGGCAATATTGACTGCCAAGAGTCTTGCTGAGCACGACAAGTTGGTCGGACCTGGTGGAAAATTCGTATTACCACCGCGGGAGCACTTCAGAACGATGAGTGATGTCGGTGGAGTGAACGGACAACGCGACCACGGCAAGCCAAGGAGTTTGCAAGGTACGTTTCGTACTGTGAATGCGCCCACACAACCTGAGGCTGTATTAGGTGTGGCAGAAGACAGCCCAGCTCAGTCAAGTACATGGAGTGTCAATGCGTTTGGCGTGCCTGCCCTGGGGCCAGTGGCGCAAGCATTCATGCGCGCGCCCGCTCAAAAGTCTGTGACCAGTACAGTGCTGTCAGTAGTGCCAGCCAAGAAGTCAATGGCCAGTGGTGCGCCTGTAGGACGTACTACAGTGTCCATACAGGCAGCTAGTAATGCAGTGCCTGTACAGCCAGCAATAAGCAGTGCAGCAGTACAATCAAGACTGCCTGGCAGTAACAAGAAGGCAGTATCAATGCTGAATGCAACACCACCATGGCCTACACCACAGAAGCATACAGCAGTGGCCAAACAGCAGCCACCAACACCAGTGGCAGTGGAAGAACACTCCAAGCAGGTGCTAAACCCGCAAGCAGAGTCCTTCATGCCCTATCCACCTCAACTGCAGACACTACACCCTGCTAGTTTCAGCTTTCACGTGAAGCCACTGGAGCTACCAAAGTTCTCTGGCAAGACTAGTGACTACGACCGGTGGAAGCAGAACTTTCGCCGCGTTGTTGACGAAGATCCACTAACGACTGAAGCGTACAAACTTGCACAACTGCGTGAGTGTCTCATGCATGGCACGGCCAGCGACCTTGTTGATGGCGTGCTTGACGGTCCAGGAGCCTACCACACCATCCTTAGGGAGCTAGATGCATGGTATGGCGGCGACAATCGCACTGTTGAGCGCCAAGAGAAGGAGATTTTGCAGTGGCCGAAGCTAAAAGAGTCAGACGACAACTTTGCCAAGTTTGTCCTCAGACTCCGGACGATGCTCATGAATATGGAGATGTGTGCAGTAACACCGGGCCGTGAGTTGTACCTATCGGTTACGCAGAAGTTGCCGAAATCGCTGTTGCTTAGGTACATGGAGAAGTATGACGATGCTGACTGTGATATTTACCAGCTAACACAGTGGCTCCTCAGACGCGTCAACACACTACGCCGTGCCGATGAACGACTCCGGTCGACAGAAGTCACTGCCTCAGCACCAGCACCAGCAAGATCATGGTCGAAGCAGAGTGCTACAAAGTCTGAACGAACATTTGTGGCAACTAGCAAGGATGCAGGTGCCGACAGAAGCTGCCCCTCGTGTGGCAAGGCGCATCAGCTCCACCGCTGCCCCGATTTCATTAAGATGGAGGTCAGGGACCGATGGAAAGTCATCAAGTCCAAGCCAGATGTCTGCGCCCTATGCTTCGGTCTCAATCATCGCGCAAAGACTTGTACCAGGCAACCCTGTTCAAAGTGCAGCCGCACGCATCATGACATGCTACACTACAACATCCGACGCTCGGATTCCGCTGCAGACCCATCAAATGCCGCAATCAAGGCCAACGCAGCTTCGGCCAGCAGTGGCGGTCCTGCCAAGATTGCTACAACACATTGCGCAAGTCATCAGCCAGAGATTGGCAGTGGCGAGTCATCAGTCCTGGTGATGTCCTAGATAGGACACCACGGAACCCAGCATGCCCCAGCATACATACTATGCTGTTCCCATAGTAATCGTGACACGTGACTCAAAACTTTGTGTCGCGTCCGAGGAAGATGAACATGTCGCACTCAAAACAAACGCAACGAAGGCCATTCGTCTCAAAAGTAATAATTATTATTAGTTGTCGTTCTCCTGGCGGCTTGCCTCAAGCGAGTCGAGATTCGTATCTTGCCTCTTGCCTTCACGAATTTTATTTTCCTCGTTGTGGAGTACGCCTGGACAAAGGAACTGGCAAGCGAATCGTTTTGGTCACATTGAAAATTGCAAGTGCACAAGAGGATTGACGAAGCAATTTGTGTTCGCACTTTCAGCAGAGCAGTAGCTGCTGCTGCGATAAAGTTTTTACTTTCGCCATTGGCTTCAGGCAGCAGAAGGATCTGGCTGAAAGCGATGGCGATACGTCCATGGCCACCACGTCCTGGGTTGATATCCAAGAAAGACCGTCCAAGGTCCAGTTTTAGCCAACAGCTGTCGTATCCAAGAAATCAAAAACGCCAACAGCAAGCTTTGGCCAAATAATATCTTCCAGGCAGTAATTTCAAGCCTAGTGCCTGCTGGCTCGTCTTCGTCCTCTGCATGGCCAGGTTTGGGGCGAAATGAACGCACGGGGCGTGAAGAAACATTCCAAAGGCAAAATATTCAAAATTAGAACCAATCGTTTCCAAAGAAGCGCCGCGTGGCTACGAGAAACCCCACATGAAATCCCCAAACGAAAACGGCCATTCGGTCGGGTATTCGATGGAGAATCGAATATACACTACCTCAATCCCCGCCGATGTCTGATATTCTCCGCCTATTCCCTCAAACTTGACCAATTCGGAAAGAAATCCATCGCCATTACGATCGTGCATCCTCCACATACATTCAGAAATGCTCACGCAGCACTTCTTTTCATCGCGTGTGCGCGACCGACGCTTCCATGACAACTCTGGGACAGGTAACCAATCAGACTCATTCAGAGTGCGATGTCCTAGATAGGACATCTCCCCGACTGGTCATTCATGGTTGTGCCTGTTGTATTCCGACACAATGGTGTGAGCCTCCAAGGTAATGCACTCCTGGACCCAGCATCGTCCACGAGTTATGTCCAGCAGTCCGTGGCAACAGCCCTCAATGTGCGTGGACCCAAGCGGCAGCTCGTCACTTCCGGAGTAGGCGGCAAGCAGACCGCAGCAAGACGTGAGCATGTACAGATCCAAGTGGCGGCTCTGGGCGACAAGACCATGAACAAGCTTGAAGCTTGGGTTCTGCCCACCGTCACCGTGCCATTACCGGCAGTGAACTGGAATCAGCACAAGAGCAGCTGGCCGCATCTCAGTGATATTGACTTCCCATCCATCAAGGGCAGTCAGATCGACGCGCTTATCGGCCTGAATGCCATCGAGCTTCATGCTACTCTAGAAGAACGGCGAGCAGAAACAGCAAGAGCGCCCATTGCTCGACGAACTCCTCTCGGGTGGGTGTGCATTGGTACAGGAGTCGACACCACTCGTGCAATCACAGCTACTACACCAGCTACTGACACAGTGCTAACTGATGGGCTGACCGAGCTAGTAGAGAAGTTCTGGCGAGATGAGTCGGCGGGCACAGATAACCCACTAGAGGAGACGCCTTCACCCGATGACAGAAGAGCCGAGGAGCTCACGAGCCAATCAATCAGCTGCAACGGCAACCGGGTAACTGTCCGAATCCCATGGATCAATGACAGCGGTAAGCCACGTGTCAGGTCCAACAGAGCTCAGGCTGAGCAGCGGCTCCGCAGTCTACAACGCTCGCTACAGTCACGGCCAGCCGTGAAGCAGCAGTACTCTGACGTTATGCAGAAACACATTGCCAAGGGTTACGTGAGACGCGTGGACCCGGATGAGATAGCCAAAGACGGCAACGACCAGTGGTACCTACCCCATTTCCCGGTAGTACGCTCAGATAAATCCACGTCAAAAGTGAGAATAGTATTTGACGGTGCAGCCCGCTGGGATGGACACTCCATCAACGATGAGATGTTTACAGGTCCTGCACTTCAAAACGACATGACCAGTGTGTTGATCCGATTCTCACTGGAACCAGTTGCGCTTGTTGGTGATGTGTCGGAGATGTTCCTCCAAGTCAAACTGGCGGAACGTGACCAGCGCTATCATCGCTTTCTGGGGTATGATGACAATGGCCAAGTGCAGGTGTATCAGTTCACCCGTGTGCTCTTCGGCGCTAAGGCGTCACCGTATCTGGCAGGACGAGCGGTGAAAGAGGTCATCAAGCACCACGGTGATGAGTACGACTCTGACGTCGTGCAGTGCCTAAGCAAAGACCTCTACGTTGACGACATGCTGTCATCACTACCATCCACACAGCGTGCCATCCAGGCCAGAGAGCAAACGCAGCAGCTACTTGCCAAGGGCGGTTTTCACATGCGAAAATGGCTGTCGAACAAAGCTGAAGTGATGAACACCATACCAGAGGAAGATAGGTCACCTGATGTCGTCCGAGATGTGGACAGTGACACCAGCCTCCCAACTGTCAAGACTCTCGGCGTCAGTTGGAACGCCGAGAAGGATGCCTTCACCTTCCAGCATCAAATGAAGGACATCACGACATTCACCCGACGCTCTGTGTTGCGCGGCCTGGCCTCCATATTCGATCCGCGTGGCCTGATCTCGCCATACGTCATCACGGCTAAGGTACTCCTGCAGGATGCCTGGTTGCTGGGACAGGGATGGGACGACCTGCTGCCAAAGGAACAAGTCGTCAAGTGGCAGGGTTGGTTCCAAGGCCTCCCAGACCTGAGTAACCTGGAGATCAGCCGCTGTTTCAAGGATCCACAACAGCCATCCGAAGACGCCAGTCTTTCCGTGCACTGCTTCTCCGACGCCTCAGATCGGGCGATAGCAGCCGCTGTGTATGTCAGAGCCAGCTACCCAGACGGTACCACCCGAATAACGCTAGCGATGTCGAAAGCGAAGCCGGCAGTGAGGCGACAGACGATCCCGCAGCTTGAACTGAGAGCAGCTGTGCTTGGCGTTCGCGTTAGTCATCTCGTCGCTGAATCCATCGGTATCCCAGTGTCAGCTCACACATTTTGGACGGACTCGATGAACGTCTTGGGCTGGGTCCAAAGCCACAGCCGGCGCTACAAAGTGGACATTGACAACCGAATCTCTGAGCTCCAGACCTCAACGAGAGCACACCAGTGGCGACATGTTCCCGGAAAGAACAACCCTGCAGACAAAGGTACTCGTGGTTTGTCTGCTGCATTACTGTGCCGTGACGCAGTGTGGTGGTCCGGTCCACAGTTTCTTCGCCAGCAGCCAGATGAGTGGCCTCAGATGAAGGAAGTCAGCACATCCTCGCTGCCTGGTCAGCTCAAGACGGCGCTAGTTGCAGTCGTCCCTCCACCCTCCGAGATCCTGGGTCGCTTTAGCACATGGTCGCGACTGGTACGCGTGACAGCATGGTGCAAGCGATTTGTGGCAAACTGTCGGCAGGCAGTCAGTGACAGCAAGTCCACGAAGGGGGATGCCGCATCGGACAGCCAGTCCAGCACGCCAGTGAGAGTGCCAGTACAGCTTGGCGGCACCCGCTCCATCAGTGTTCCAGTTCTCAGCACTGACGAAGTATCAGTAGCAGAGCGGCACTGGATTGCAACTGCCCAGAAGGATTGCCATGGTACAGCATACCATCGTCTACAGTCTAGGCAACCGATGTTGAAATCGGACCCTCTGGCACCTCTCTGTCCCCAGTTCGATAGTGCAACAGAGTCACCCCTGATGACGGTAGGAGGTCGATTGCAAGCTACAAAGAACATGCCAAGTGGCGTACGCCACCCAGTCATCCTACCAGCAAAGCACCGAGTAACCCAGCTGATAATCGAACAGGAAGATCATCGGTGCTTCCATGCAGTTGGGCCACAGCATCTTCTGGCCAATCTGCGACAACGCTACTGGATTGTTCACGGAACATCAACAGTCAAGGCCGTTCGAAGCAACTGCGTCACTTGCCGTAAGAACCGTGCGGAGCCAGCGTCCCAGATGATGGGCCAGATTCCAGACTTCCGAGTTGCAGGCTCGTTGAAACCGTTCAGCCGTACAGGAGCTGATTACGCGGGTCCCTTCCTGACCAAGCAGGGCCGAGGTAAGACGCAGGCTAAGCGGTACCTGTGCCTGTTCACTTGCCTTGAGACTCGTGCCTGTCACCTAGAGGTATCCTATGGCCTCTCCACTGAGTCATTCCTGTTAGCATTTGAGAGATTCACAAAGCGCCGTGGTGTCCCGCTTGAAATGGTCAGCGACAACGGGACCAACTTCACTGCCGCGGAGCGAGAACTCCGTGAGGCCGTCCGGGCCATGGACAAGGAGAAGATCGAGAAGCGACTGGTCAGTGATGGCGTGCGATGGCGCTTCAACCCACCTAGAGCACCACATTTCGGCGGCGTATTCGAATCCCTCATCAAGACGGCTAAGCGCGGACTCACAGCAGTACTTGGGAAAGCGGACGTCACAGATGAAGAGTTAGTGACTGCCATGTGCCAGGTTGAGGGCATGATGAACTCGCGCCCGCTGACAGTTGTAAGTGCCGATGCAGCTGATTTGCAGCCTCTAACACCAGCACATTTCCTCGTCGGACGACTCGACCCACCAATGGCTCTGGAAGTGAAAGCAGACGAGCACCCCAGCAGAGACCCACGCAAACGTTGGTGGTATGTTCAGCGGCTTGTAGCAGACGTGTGGAACAGGTGGCGAGATGAGTATGTTCCCTTGTTGAATGTCCGTCGTAAGTGGCAACGTCAAGGTCGCAATGTAGCCGTAGGTGACATCATGCTGTGTCTTACATCAAACACTCCCCGTGGAACATGGCCCATGGGTAGAGTCACAGCAGTGCATCCTGGTGCAGACAAGCTCGTCCGAGTAGTGGATATTAAGATCGGCGACAAGATCTACCGACGGTCTATCCACCATCTAGTACCTATTCTGGACACCGAGTAGTTTGTGCCTTGTGTATCTGAAGTGCTACAGGCAGCCCTGTGACAGTACTCTCTCTCTCTCTCTCTCTCTCTCTCTCTCTCTCTCAACCTATGAAGTTTTTCTTTCATCATACAGTACCGTAGTAGTACTCACTCGTCACAGTTTGTTTGCTGACCCTGTGCTCGTGAGTGAAGGGGGATATGTTCTGGAATATTACCAGCTTGTGGTGAATCTTGCATGACCTTTCATTGTACTCAGGTTTCATTCCTTTTATTCTAGTGCATGCTGCTGGCGCCTGATGTATTGACTATTGTTACCGCAGGCCAGTCTCAACCTTTGCATTGTCTGAGATTCAAGTAGCGTATCGTTTGATGCATGTGCTGTCTCCATGCTATCTAGTCGTAATATATTCACTCGTCTTTGCATTTGTGCACAGTCCTGTGGATACTCGCAGGCTGCGATTGCGCTCTCGCTTTGGTCATTCTAGAATGTATACTTCCATGCCTTTGAAGTTTTTTAGTTGTCAGTTTTGAACTGTAGGAAGCAGTTTACAGTTTTTGTTCTTGCAGTTTTATCTCAGAGGAGAAAGTTCTTGGTCTCATACTGTTACGAGTTGCTGTTGTATCTGGTTGAACGCATGCCGGGGCAACAGAGGGCAGCATGAGTAGCCAGCGATCTTGGACTCGTAAAAAAATTGAAATTCACAGAATGTATAATTGTGTAGTTACAATAATAATCGTTTAGCCGATCGTTATGGTATCAGCATGATGCCTTTACTCTATACTCTATACATTTCCCAAAAGGGAAAAGGCTAATGGCTAATGGGAGGGGATAGGGTGTTCGCAAGGACAACCCAAGACTTTCTTAGGGCCCGGTCACACATGCACTGGGGTTCGCTTCGGCATCGAGGTTCTGCGGCAGTGAGCCTGGTGTCGCTCCAGCGAAACCACTTGTGCATGGTCACACATACAAACAGGGCATACTCCTACTTTGGCGGAAAATGAGAGTAAAGTGGACTGTGGTGCATACGGTACGGAGAATAGACGAGGTCAATGACTATCTTGCACGCATTTTTGTTGCATGGACATCATACGCATACAAATTTCTCGTAGCAAGTCCATATACAGCAGACCGTGGTGTTTTCCGCTGAAGCGAAACCGCAGAAGCGACAGTCTCGCTTCGAAAATTTTGGAGGAAGCGGATTGGAGTTTCCGCTGAAGCGGAAGTTCCGCTTTTCGCCGTTGCCATGGTATTTTTCGCTCCTGCGACGTCGCTTCAGCGGATCCGCTACTTTCGAGTGCATGTGTGACCGGGCCCTTAGAGGACATTGTTCGTGTTGTGTACATTAAGTGCAACGCTACAGCCACACCAACTGCCTACTATTTGAGGGCACACAACATAAGGAACGATCATCCTGAGACATTTGGCCAGTCTCACCGGACAACAGCATATCCAGAACTTGCTCTCCATCATAGTTGTTGCTGATTAGAAGGTGGTGTGCTGTGGGCTCGGAGAAATTCTCTCCGAGAACACCACGGATATGATCCATGGCCGAATGTAAAAGACCTTTGAGAGCACGATAATGAATACACATACATACAGACAGACGTGTGCATGCACACACACACACACACACACACACACGCACACGCACAAACACTGCTAAATACGCACTGCAGAGCTACTACTTGTAGGGCCATGCGGGGTAAGGAATGGGGGGGGGGGGGGGAATATCTCAAAGCCCTGGTCAGTCAAGACTGCCCATGAGATATGGTGTGAAACTCATCATACAGTGCCTGAATGATAGAAGGCACAACATTCTCATGAAACGCATTGTCCAGCTTTGAACCATATCTCAAAAGAAAAACCCTCAAAGAGTGTATTAGCAAAGCATCAAACTCACTTCTGTCATCCATGGAGAGTGTGCTAAGATCTGGTGGGTCAGGCTCTGAAGGTATGGATGACGTGGACTCCGCTACATGGGTGTCATATTGCGCTGACGCCGAGGCCTCCGTGCTTGCAAAGTAAGAACCCAGTGTGGGCTGATTGCCGTCATTTCCACGCCGGTACATGAACTGAGCTACAAATACCACAGTAGGCAAAGAAATGTTCACAGAACATGCATCACCATCATGGTTTTTCTTCTTCTCTTTTTTCAGTGAGTGATTCCCAACATGGGGTGGCTTGCTAGTGTCATCCATGCCGCACTGTATTATTAAAACCTTGGAAGCAATGACATTAGGAAGAAGTACTGAAGTAGGTGTAAGTTTGCAAGGACAAAAAAAAATACACAGGCTTAACCCCTACAGCATTGTACATACACTTGCGGATCACCGGTGATCCTGCTGTACATCATAAACTTCGTTTTAACAGGTGGTTACGCCCAAAAGGTAAGATTGCTTACTGCGCTATACCAAGAGTACAAAACCCCCAATAGTGTGCAACTCCAGCTATGGGGTCTGCGACGGCAGAACTTCACATCACGTGATGAACCCGTACACATTATTTGCACTCTGTGCATGATTGATACAGGGTTGTACGCAACCCAGCTTTGGGTACAACTCTCTTGTGGTCACTTTGCACTGTTTGCCAGTGTAACCCCCCCCCCCCCCCCAACCATGTCACGCGATGTGAAGTTCTGCCGTCGCAGCACTACATAGAGGTTGTGCAGGCAGTTGCACACTCTTGGGGATTATGTACTCTTTCTTGGTTATACTGAGTGCTAGGTGAGACACTGCGATACATATAATTATACCACAGGTATTACATACTTTGAAGTATTAGCAGTATTGAATCTGTACTCGTAATCGGTGGTACAGTGCCTTTCAGAAGTTTAGATGATAGTTCTAAGAAAACCCTGCTAAGCCTGCATCTACACCACATACAATCAGTGATCACTTTGTGAACACAATTTTCAAAAGTGTGCATTCGCATCCAGTCACTTATTTATATGAGTAAAAGCGCGAACCCGTTCAAGTAAAGTCTCATCATCTCAAGGCAAATTTGACTTATTCGAAAAAGTCTGATGGTCTGGACTTTCCAAACGCCCTGCGAGGACTGTAGGTCAAGGTCAACGGAAAAATACCACAACCACGGCCTCCGACTCTCCAGTACTCTTGGCAAGAACAAAGCGCGAAGGTTCCTGTTTCACACCGTATGTCCGCACCTTTTAAAGCCATGGCGGTATATTCGATTATAAAGCCGGTCTCAGTTATAAATCCATGGCTTTACAACTTGCCAAAAAGCGAATTTACGAGTGAAATATTTGTGTGGACTTTTGACTTTCAAGCCATGGCATAGTAGGTGGGTCATTCTGCATAGAAAAAAGCTAGGAAAACAGCAATGTTTCGAATACCAGGCCATGGCCTACTTTAAAGGCACAGACATCCGGTAAGCACTGATTCGGAAGGACCTGGGAACACTATTTACTGTACTACTGTTGTGGACATTGACATCCGGTGGAATAACCGGGGCCGGCGCCCTTACTGCCTTAGCGCGTACACGCACTGTAGTTCATGTACACACTGAAAAAAAAGGACCAGCAGCAGTGCTAAGGCCAGCGCCCGCTGGACTTCTCAACGGATTTCAATGTCCAGAACAGTACATGTAAACACTACTATGGTACGTGTGAACTAACTAACTACTAGTGCAACCATGTACACAGAAGCCTTGCTTGGTAGTTTAACATGTTTTTCGATTTTGACAGCATGTTACAAGGCTTGGTGGTGGGTCTGATCTACTCACCTCCCACCGTTTAGGCGCTGCATCTGCGCCTTTGATCCTAGAGGGTGGTGGCATTCCCACGACGGATGCGGAAAACTGGGCTTCCAGCCGAGTCTCACGCGAACCGTGATTTTTTTTTTTTTACAAGGCGAGGACGCGTAGTGCTCCTGACTACAACCATAACCCGGTTGGCAGAGTCCCGGTCTTGCGACCATTTGAACCGTATTGGGAAAACCCAGGTTCGGACCCTCGTTACTCTAGGGGTTGGTAGGATTTAGAAATTTTTCTTTTTTTGTGTTGTAGATGTTGTCGTGTTGCCACCGCAGTATTGTTCACGTTGTCGCGTTGCTGCCGCTATAGGGATCACGTCTGCAACATCACAATCACAAATCCTTTCCAGACGTGATCCCTATAGCGGCAGCAACGCGACAACGTGAACAATACTGCGGCGGCAACACGACAACATCTACAACACAAAAAAAGAAAAATTTCTAAATCCTGAAATGGAATTGTGGTGACATCATCAGTACAGTGTGACATGCATTCCCTGTGTAGATATGACTGTAGAGCATGCATTGATTGGTGTCAACATTGCCTAGAGAGTGTAGAGGTGCTTGTAACAACCTAGTGGTTTGGCTCTTCTCAGTACTGGGTGAGGCATGTAATGTCATTATTATCATAAGCATATTGTGAACGTCTGGCTGACAAGACTAGACACTCTGCACGGAGGTGTGCCGGCAGTAATCATTCCTTGGTACATTATACAATCATCTGTGTTGTTAGTAGGGGTGAAAGTTGGCACTGAGATCCCGAGTTCGAGTACTCTGATTTTCTCCGATCGAATATTCGAGTATTCGAGTATTCTTGATATCCTAAAAATCGCACACCAACCGCCTTAAAAATCACATGATACAACCCTGATTGAACCGATTGGCAGTTCTTTTTGTCGGGTGTATTGGTTGGTGGGTCATTTGGGCTCTCTCGACTCGTGTACAAATGTTCATCACACAGTCTGCACATCAATATCTGCTGACTGCTGCTCTGAAACTGCAGACTTCTGTGGTAAATGCATGTACCATGTATGAGCGAGTACTCTGATCTATTCCGAGTACGATTATATTTGAAAAATCCAAACGAGTATTCGAATATTCGGTATAATTGTTTCACCCCTAGTTGTTAGTCTGATTATGGCATTCCATGGTTTCCTTTCGTGCACGATCCAGGTCTCTGTCTCTGTCTGCCTGGACTAGCCAATCCTAGTGCTCTCCCACATAATTTCACCAGTACTAATATCCCATGCATTCACTTCATTCGATAGAATCTAACTGTAGCCGTACAGTGGCCGTTTCGTGAAGTGAGTGTGCTGGTTGTGTGCGATTAAATGTTGTAGGAGATTTGTAGGAGATTTCCACAACAGCGTGGTGCCGAAACCCGACGTTTGTCTCAACCAGGTTTTTCAGTACACTTGCCATGTTGAATTCGAAAGCGGAAGGCTACTTTCGGCCGTTCCGCGGGCGCCCAGGTGATGACTTTAACACGTTCTGGGCGAAGTTCGGAGTCTTGGCGGGCATCAATGGTTGGGATACCGATACCAAGAAGGCCAAGCAATTGCCGCTCTTCCTGGACGGTGACGCGTTCCTAGTCTTCACCAGGATGTCGGAAGAGGATCAGAAGAAGATGGACGCTGTGAAAGCCAAGCTGGAGGAGGCGTTCTCCGTTACAAAGTCCCAGGCTTTCAAACTGCTGACGGGGAGGAGGTATCGCAGCCAAGAGTCCCCGGACGCATACGTCGCTGATTTGCAACGCCTTGCTACTCTCGCTGGCCATGACGCCACTGGAGACGACAACAGTATCATCGTCCAGCAACTTCTTGCTGGCCTGCCTCCTGCTTGGGCCCAACAAATTCGTTTGTCAATGGTTGGGAAAGCTCTGACCGTCAGTGCGTCCCTCGAGCTCCTCCGAGCCATTCGTGTCGCGGAGCGCGACCAGGAGCCTGCCGATATTCCATCTGCTGCGTCAGCCACTGACGCGGACTTCGACTACGCGGCTGCTACGACTGGCGGGCGGGCCAGGGGTACTTCGAGTTCGAGTGGTTCGAGCCGTGGTCCGAGCAGCGGGTCCAGCGCTGGGACAGGTACACGCTCTTCAACCGCAGGCGCAGGCTCAGCTACACGTAGCAACGTCGTTTGCTTCAGATGCCAGGCCGTGGGCACGTGCGTCGTGACTGCCCGGAGCGCTCGTCGACCCGTGTAACTCCCACTTCGCGCAGCACGCCAAGAGCCAGGATCACGTGCTACTTCTGCGATGCGGAAGGGCATCGCAAGTCGGAGTGTCCTGAGCGCCAGGCTTGGCTCGCTCGACAGGCCAAGAAGGGCACTGCTGCATCGGCAGCTGCGCATGCTTTTGACCAAGTTCTCTGTTCCTTGGCCGTCCCCTCTCATGGGAAGTTACCACGGATTCACCTCAACATATGGCAGGAGCAACAGGCCAACCACTGTGTGATCGCAGTCATCGATACCGGAGCAACCCGGTCCCTCATCTCTAAGGAGTCTGCACTCGCCTGCGGTCTACACTGGTCGGCTCCTTCCGGGTTTACCGAGCTGCTTGCCCTCGATGGACAGCCCCTGCGCATCCTCGGCCAGGCCACCGTGACTTTGCAACGCATGGACGATACAGTCCGGTTTCCGGAGCAGACCATCTCTGTCTTGGTTGCTGCCGATTTGAGTGTGGTTCGTGCTGACCTGCTCCTCGGGTCGGATGTCAGCAGCCGTAGCGGCGGTCTGCGCCTAGCCTATGCCGATGGCCAGTTGCAGAGTGTTCAGTTCGGTCCTGACCAGGCCACTGCCTCCGTCGCTGTGCCGAAGGATGCTGACGTCCCACACCCATCTCGGCACGTCAATGTGACCACTGACGGCGACGACGTGCTGCTCCGCGTTGGCGACGGCACCATCCGGTGGTGCAGCCGTACTCGCCGCTGGACCCTCACGTGGGCTTGGGCCGATGGTCACCCGCCACCAGCTCCGGTGGGTTCTGGCATTGGTCAATACAGTCGCAAGGGGTTGACCGCGGAGCAGGAGGAGCACTTCAGTCAGGAGATCGATGGCTGGATTTCCAACGGCTGGCTGGTTCCGCACGATGAAAGCGTCCATGGGAAGATCGCAGGTGTGCTGCCCCTGCTGGCTCGCGTACAGGAGCATAAGTCTTCCACTCCAGTCCGCCCGTGCCTGGACTATCGACAACTGAATGCTCTCCTGAAGTCCCAGCCTGGGTCCGAAGCCCCCGTCTGTGCTGAGAAGGTCCGCGCCTGGCGTCAGACGGATGGCCGTGAGTGGGACATGCTCGACATCCGTAAGGCATATCTTCAAGTCCACATCGACCCTGCCCTCGTCCGCTACCAGGGGGTCGTATGGAAGGGGAAGATGTTCGTAATGACCCGGATGGGCTTTGGCCTCGCGATTGCGCCGAAGTTTATGCACCTGATCGTCCAGTGGGTCACTCGGGACCGTCCCGCCGTGGACAACTACGTTGACGACATCCGTACTCCTGCCACCGAGACGGGCCCACTCAAGGCCCAACTGTCGGCGTACGGTCTACCAACGAAATCTCCGGAGCCGCTCACGACGTCCCGCGTACTCGGCATGCAGCTGGCAACAGACGATCAAGGGCGCACCACCTGGCGCCGCCGTGACATGGATCTTGCCCCGCCCACAAGCCCGACGCGACGTTCAGTATTTGCGTGGTGTGGACGTCTGACTGGCCACTACCCTGTATGTGCGTGGCTCCGCCCGGCTTGCAGCTACCTGAAGCGACTGGCTACAGGCGACTGCCGTTCCTGGGACGACCCCGTATCACCTGCCGTTGTCGAGTGCTGTGACATGCTGTTCGCGAAGCTAAGCACTGCCGATCCCGTCCGCGGCCTGTGGGATGTTAACGCCGGCGAGCACTCTATCTGGGCCGTGTGGTGTGACGCGTCGAATCTGGCCACTGGCGTCGCACTGGAGCTGGATGGAGAGATCGTGGAGGACGCTTCTTGGCTTCGCCCCGTCCAGGACAAGCGGCATATCAACGTCGCCGAGCTTGACGCTGCCATCAAGGGCCTATCTCTCGCCGTTAAATGGCACGTCCGCCGAGTCATCCTGAACACTGACTCGAAGACTGTGGCTGCCTGGCTGACCCAAGTCGTTGGGGGCCTGCAACGTGTGCGTGTTGGTGGTCTGCACGAAGTACTCGTTCAGCGCCGGCTCCAAATCGTCAACGACCTAATCACCACCACAGGCATGGACGTTGTAGTCGCCTGGGTCCCCACCGACAGCAACAAGGCGGATGGCTTGACCCGCGTCCCACCTGCCTGGCCGAAGACTCCATGTCCAGAAGCTGCTGCGGATGCTGCTCCCGAGACCGTGAGTGCTGCTGTCCCAAGCCCCCTCCAACTGGCGGAGGTGCGGGCCGCGCAGCCGGCTGATCCACAGCTCCAGGAAGCCATCCAACAGGTACGCGATGATACACCTGTGTCCGCCAGTGCCTTCAAAGCCGTCCGATCCCAACTGTGCCTGCGTGATGATCTTCTGTGTCGCAGTGTAAAGGTTCCTGTACTTGGCGACATTGTTGTCCCGGTACTCCCCAGTTCGCAGGAGGATGCTGCCATCACCGTCGCGCATTCCGCGTCGGGCCATGCCGCTTGGCAGACCATGTACGAGTCGCTCCGGCAGCAATGCTACTTCCCGCACATGGCCGAGAAGTGTCAGTCGCACGTCCAGCAATGCCGCCAGTGCCGCGCCGCTACTACCTCTGGCACTCGTTCCGCTCCGCCCACTCGACCCGATATTCCCAGCCGCCCATGGAGTACTGTGGTCATCGACACCCTCGAGCTTGGGACGGACCACAGTGGTCGATACTCCTGTGTTCTCGTCGCCGTCGATGCTTACACCAAGTGGGCAGAGGTCGTACCACTGCTTCGCCACGATGGGCAGTCCGTCGCTGCCGCTTTCACCCGGCTGTGCTACAGATGGGGTGCCCCCGACGTTATCCGCGTGGACAATGGCTCAGAGTTCTCCAACGCCCTCGTGAAGTCCCTGTTTGACGCCTTTGGCATCACCGTCAAGACCGGCGCCGTGCGCCATCCCCAGTCGCAGGGTTCCGCCGAGCGGTTCAACCGCACCCTGCTGACCATGATCCGGAAGCTAGGCGAGGACACCACTGACTGGGTGCCAGATCTGCCGGTACTTCTACATCACTACCGAACCCGACCCCACCGTGCTACGAGCATCACCCCGATGATGGCTATGCTGGGCTGGCAGCCGAAGACGATCGTTCTGAGCGCCGATCTGGAGTCGCCTGCCTGGCAGGTTGAGCATGCCGAACGGTGTGCCCGTGTTCGCGATCTCCTCGACTCGGCCATGTCTTCCCGTGATTTCCGTGCCGACGATGCTGCTTGCCGTTTCCAATCCGGTGATGCTGTCCAACTGAAACAGCCCTCGCGCCACCAGAAGCGTCTGCCTCCGTTTCAACCGGGCTGGTCGGTCACGAAAGTTATCTCCCCGTCGACCGTCGTCATAAACCGTGATGGTGCTGAGAAGGTCATCAACGTGGACCTCCTGAAGTCTGACGGCCGTCCTCCAAGTCCCGCACCCACTCAGGGTGCCGATCCTCTCCCGCCTGTCCAAGATTCCACCGATGACGATGCTGACCAAGACGTTGACTGGCACGGCTATCGGCTCGCTCGCCTCCCTGAACCGCAAAGGCAGTTGCGTGACCGCAACACGATCAGCTTGCCATCTCGCTATCGTCCATGAGCACTGTCCTGATATCTGCTACTACAAACGGTGTTATGACTTCTAGTGCTGCCCTCGTATGTCACCAGGCGGAGGGGTGAAATGGAATTGTGGTGACATCATCAGTACAGTGTGACATGCATTCCCTGTGTAGATATGACTGTAGAGCATGCATTGATTGGTGTCAACATTGCCTAGAGAGTGTAGAGGTGCTTGTAACAACCTAGTGGTTTGGCTCTTCTCAGTACTGGGTGAGGCATGTAATGTCATTACTATCATAAGCATATTGTGAACGTCTGGCTGACAAGACTAGACACTCTGCACGGAGGTGTGCCGGCAGTAATCATTCCTTGGTACATTATACAATCATCTGTGTTGTTAGTCTGATTATGGCATTCCATGGTTTCCTTTCGTGCACGATCCAGGTCTCTGTCTCTGTCTGCCTGGACTAGCCAATCCTAGTGCTCTCCCACATAATTTCACCAGTACTAATATCCCATGCATTCACTTCATTCGATAGAATCTAACTGTAGCCGTACAGTGGCCGTTTCGTGAAGTGAGTGTGCTGGTTGTGTGCGATTAAATGTTGTAGGAGATTTGTAGGAGATTTCCACAACAATCCTACCAACCCCTAGAGTAACGAGGGTCCGAACCTGGGTTTTCCCAATACGGTTCAAATGGTCGCAAGACCGGGACTCTGCCAACCGGGTTATGGTTGTAGTCAGGAGCACTAGGCGTCCTCGCCTTGTAACATGCTGTCAAAATCGAAAAAACATGTTAGTGCAACCATGTAGTTACATGCAGTGCACTGTACTGCACGTTGGTCATGACATGTCAGCGACCGTGTATGGTATTGGCATCAATTACTTATTTCAAAGTAGAAACTTAGAAAGGGACATTATGCTCTTACCAGCGGAAGGCGAGAAGGCTACTTCATCTTCATACGAGTGGCCATACACAGCTCCGTCGTCATATTCTTTGATGGCACGGGACGTGATGGACATATGAAATTGAATAAAAAGAAAAGAAAAAACAACAGGCTAGTTACAGCACCCATAGGGTCAAATTGGTTTTATGGAGTCTAAAGAAAATGGACAATGCAACTCGCTCACCATCGTCGAGGTCAATGTTGCGCACGGTCCTGTGGCGAGCCATGATTGTAGAAGTCACAATGATATATTCTTATTTCAAAAAGCACTGCAAGACCCACTACAGTCACAATTTGTAGAGCAAGAGACAAGAACAGATCACGAAGATCAAGACAAGAGGGATGGAACAGTACAGTGTTCAAAAGGGGCACATTTGAGTTTTGAAGTTTTTTTGTCGAAACACAATTTTTGCAATTTTCGAAAATGCAATACTAGTAATGGTTTTACGAATGACATCATCGTGTTATTTATGAAATTAAATTATTTAAATAATTTGAAAGCACAGCTAGCTGCATGCAGCCGTTGTACCCTGACTCCTGAGTTGAGCAGTCTGATCTGATCTATGAAGTATGATGATCCAGCTTAACGCTGACGTCACCATAGAGGTCAGGTCAAAGGTCAAGGGTTCATGTAGCCTATAATATTAATGTCGGCGGCACACAACAAGGTCTGGTTCAGTTACGGCGGTATGGCTTAGGACCCGAACCACTTCCCCCCCCGGCCCTCTTTGTTGTGTCTGCTTATTTTTTTATTTTTCTGCTGTCGCCCCGTGTCGGGTTTCAACGTGGTTTTGGTGTGAGTGGATTGTCTCGATCATGAAACGACGGTTACGTGAGGGAATGCCTCCTTGACTCTGACTTTCGATTGACACCTTTTTCTTCTTTTTCTCTTTGTTGCTTCCTCGTAGATCTACGGACCCGGCCACGTTCTGTACCAGGACCGTATGTAGATCTACATGTACTTTCAACCAGTAACCCCTCCTTGCTCTCAACCAGAAGTTCATTTCCTGTGATGAAGGAGTGAGAACAAGCACGAAAGGACAAGAAGGGTTCTTCCTTGCCTTGAGTTGGTGACCTACCTCTAATATTCCTGTCGCTCAACTGCTTTTGCCAGTTTTGGAGTGGCTATGCTGTGCCTTTCGCCAATGGAGATATCTACCTAGCTTCTTGCCGTGACATTGTTGTTGTTGTTGTTGTTGTGTATATTTTAATTCGCAAACCAAACGGGCAGATCTGCCCAATGAAAAGGTGGCGAATGCAGATAGAAAGCAGTAATAAATGAAATTGGGGACTGATGTCATTAGGATAGAGGTGGAGAAAAACTAAGCCAGCTGATCATCAAACAGGACGTTTGGTACTCTAGGTACTAAGGGTGTGCGGGATCATGCTGGCGCGGAACTGGCGGAGCGTGGAGATGGCACGTATGTCGCTGGGTAAGGTGTTCCACAGCTGGGCGCCCCGGAACGCGAGGCAACCCTTGCCGAACCTGGTGGAAACTGGCGGTTGGCGCAGACCCATGGTGGAGTGCAACCTAGTTGGGCCAGCTGACGAAGGAATTAGGAGGGCTTGCAGATCAGAACTTGCGTGCCCATTCCGAGACCTCCAGTCCAGACCAGAACGATGAACTTCTGCCTGAATAATATCTCGGATACTCTGTAGGTGTCCACATGGCTGTTGCCTGTTGATGATACTACAGTCTACTGGTTTGGATCGTAATACTGAGTGAGGATGGCTGAACTTACTTGGCGGCGTCGTTTCAGGGATGAATTCGTTGCCGTAGTAGCTAACCGGACAGTCTACACTCGTGGACAGCCTGCGGATGCGTATGTACATGTATGTCACTAACCCCCTGAGCGACCTCTGAGTCTTCGTCAAACTGCAGTATGCATATTTTAGCTGGGACCGTGAGGAAGAAAGAGCTTGTGCGTGGCCTTAGCAAATAGCCTCATACTCCTCATAGGCTGTGGGTAGTCCCAAGTCAGTGTCGAACGGTCAATGGATGTGTTGCTGTTCTCAGCAGATCAGGTCAGGCAGTGTGGCAATGAGGGCGACGAGACGAGGACCGGCACTGAAGAAGCCCCAATTGTAAAATACTAAATCCCGCTACCTGTAGTGATACGACATGTACTACACACCCAGGTGAGATTCTGATTTATTTAATTAAGGGGAAGTAAGCCTAAAATCAAAATTTCACCAGTTGTAGTCTTCGGGGTGCTGAGTCGAATGGTCTTGGTCCGAGGAAGCTGAGACGCTCCCTTCCTCCTTTATTCCCAATCGAACTCGCGCACTTCCACCGAAACTGGGTGACTGCGCCCTACTAGATGGGGACTTGTATGCATAATGTCACTAAAAGCGCCATTTCGTTCTTATAAAAGCACGGATGACCGCGATTGGCCCATATGTTGTAGTCTTTTGGATGCTGAGTCGACTGGTTTTGGTCCGAAAAGGCTGCGATGCAGCGTTCCTCCTTTATTCCCAATCGAACATGGTCGAACAAGTGGTCACGTGCTCCTGCGTACACCAGTCACCTGGTCACCGTGCCTGCAGGGTACAACTTACTAGCCTGTTTGACCTTTTTTGGGTGCAGTCCTGTCACTCGAGTTGAACTCGAGTTGAACCTTGGTGTGAAAGTTGTCGCCTGCTGGCGTGGTGACCAGGTGATTTGGGCACCCAGGAGCACGTGACCGCTTCTTCAACCATGTTCGATTGGGAATAAAGGAGGAACGCTGCATCGCAGCCTTTTCGGACCAAAACCATTCGACTCAGCGTCCAAAAGAGTACAACATATGGGCCAATCGCGGTCATCCGTGCTTTTATAAGAACGAAATGGCGCTTTTAGTGACATTTTGCATACAAATCCCCATCTCGTAGGGCGCAGTCACCCAGTTTCGGTGGAAGTGCGCGAGTTCGATTGGGATTCAAGTAGGAAGGGAGCGTCTCAGCTTCCTCGGACCAAGACCATTCGACTCAGCACCCCGAAGACTACAAGTGGTGAAATTTTAATTTTTGCCTTAACTTCCCCTTTAACTTCCCCTTTAAACAAGGTACATCAGGCGTACTTGTATTGTGAGTCATTCCAGGACTCTTACAGTCACCGGCCTGCATTGTTATGCCACCATCCTCATGCATCTTGTAGTCTCTATCATCCGCATCCGTGTTCTCCTCTTCCTGCCCTCCATTGGAACTCCACCATGCCAGCACCAGTTGTTTCCGGTGGTCCCTCATGGCCTCCTCTCCATTGGCATTGGTGTCTGCAAGATCTCCAGCAGGCTGTGAACAGGTTGAAGCCCAATCAACCATGGCTGTGCCCCCTCCCTGCCTTCTGCACATACAATAATACCAACAATGGACCCGCATCACATTACACTCTACATTGAGGTGGAGCAGTCTGATGACACTGGCATGCTGCACGTACTTCATACATACATGTAGATCCACAATCATGTTTTAACAATGACAGCATGTTACAACTTAATACAAGCCGGAGGACACACAGCAGTGCTCCTGACTACAACCATAAACCGGTTGGCAGGCGTCCCGGTCTTGCGCCCATTTGAATCGTATATATAGACGGAGACTATGCCAACCGGTTTTTGGTTGTAGTCCGGAGCACTGCAGTGTGTCCTCCGCTTTGTAACATGCTGTCATCGTCGAAACATGTTTAACCCACCAAACAAGGCTTATAATACAGGTATACATAATGAAGAGGTACACCATGTGAAGTTCATCCACCGTCCGAAGAGGGCTCAATTTTCAGAAAGCAAAGAGTGGAATACATGGCAATTGTTGCGCTGGGCTTGCCACATTCACGGTTTTTAGAAAAGCAGTACTCTCAGACTCAGGGCAGGGTCAGTATCAATTTTCGTCTGATGATCGATTCAGTTCGTGAAACTCGGAGCCTCACGAAGAAAAAAAAAACTGCTCGTTCTTTCTGTCTGTGTATTCATAGATACAATGTACATGTACATCTCAGAAATCAAATCAATGCCATGCAGCACAGAGAAAAAAAAGTGCAAGTGGTGATTTGTGAAGTTCTGAATATTAACGGATAGTGAAAGTAGGCAAGAGGTGCACGCCGGTTTTGCTCGCGCTATCTCTCCTGGTCGAAATCTACATGAAACAAAGTCAATAAAGGCGTTACAAGGAGCTCGGCTGTGAGCATGCAGCAGTTGCCGGGATTCATCATCCCCCGATGTCACTGTGGCACATGTATGGGTATATGGTTGCACTCTCAGGCTCAGTGCCAACAAGGGGAGCGATAATAGAAGGAGCAAAGACAAACAAAATTTAATAGTATATACTCAATGAAGCACTATGTGACAGCAGCTCCATCTCAACTCAAGCACCTAAATACTCTCCACTAGTAGTCACCAAGTGACGATGTGACTCTACAAGTCATGATAGAGTGTATAGACTAGACTAGCGTCACAGCTATGCACTTACAACTAAACCATAATACTGTCAAGGACTTCGACAACACACTGTGCAAAGCAATAGTGAATGTCTGCGTGCAATTCATGCAGAGAAACTCCTCTCATTCTATGCATCGCAAATCTGCGTCAACGCCACCTTCAGCAATAGGGTGGCACTATGATACTGTACTAGCATCGACTAAGTTTTGAAGTACGGCACACTGAAGAGTGCAATCATTGAGTTCACTCAGTTCATGAATGTTCATGACAACTACAGTCAGAGTTCCTGCAGCGCAAGACGGTGACCGCGTCTGCAGAGGCATCACAAGCAAACCGAACACCAGCCCTGACTCCCTTCGAGTACAGGACAGCGGTGATAGGAAATGTCACTCTGCGATCGGAAGCACTCTAGCACGGTGGTTTGACGCGGATCAGCAAAGCACAGTACAGTACTGATGCTCACCGGCTTAGACTGAGACTGAGAGCGCAGCAGCTACGGTCCATGTATCCACAAGCCACACCGTGATATTGGCATTGTTCACTCAAAGAGACAAGGCACCAGCAAGGTAGATCCGTGTGCAGCTCAAACCCACTCGACTGGCCGGCACAATTTTCGCCAGCTACTGCTGCTAGGCTGATTCCCAACACCAAAACAGCACAGCACAGCACTGCACGACCGGTCCATTGTCAGATGCACAACTACATGTAGCTGATCGTTCCAGTCAGTCCTATGACAGCGCACTGCGTGCGTGTTGCATAAATGAGATCACGTGCTCTCTCAACTGCTGCCGCATGGACACTATGTGATTAGGCACGTCGAACAGCTTCTCAGACGAAATACGCAGTCTGACTGCTCCTACTGACCTGATCCTGTGAGTAAGTGAGACATTCGCAGCACAGACAAGAATGCAATCAGTCAGGTTTACAATTACTACGAGCACTGTATCTCCACCAGTTGTATTTGTTATGTACTCTGGTGAAAACTGTTTTTAAAGGACAAGAATTTGTTTGGAAGTAGAGGCACAATACAGTTATCTTCATTGGTCTAAATTTTCAAACAGTCTGTTTACAAAATTAATATCAATAAAACTGTCAGTCTGTTTACATAGTCAATTGGTCTGCAGGAGCATAGGCAAGCATCACCAAGCCTCCTTTACTCCTGCCTGGAAGCAGTACGTTACATGTAGACTATATCAGTGTTTTGGAAGCTGGTACGGCCAACTGACCTCTGGTGAATAGGCAAGCACCTCGAACCTGAACACGCCGCCCTGTGTTCCACCGGGCCGAGCATCGGGCACCAAGAACTTCAGAGAAGCAGGCGCGTGGCGTGGTGACAGCTGCGCTGGACTGAACTCGTGCTTCCAGCTGTTCTGAACGATATTACGCGAGTACTTGCGCACGATCAGCTCATGCCGTCTATCCAGAAAAATGTGGAAAGCAAAGGCAAACAGAGCTGAGCATTAAGAACGGGGTCAGATCATCGTCCTTGCAAGGATCCTTAGCAAATTGGGGTCAATCAGTGATCAAATAAGGGGAGCATTCTGTGCGACAAACCCTGTCCGGCTCAGTCGTGTACACTGTAGTGCATTTCAATGACAAAGATGCACATTTAACTAAGAAACTTCACCACCACCACCGCCGCCGCAACTGCCACCACCACAAACAACAACAACAACAACAACTTATCAAAATTTTAGTTGTAAAAATGCACAATGTTGGCCCGGCTAAGGGTAAAGATAATTTGGTAAGAGAGGACTATAACGATCCACCAATGTAACCAGATCCAATATAAAATGAGACAATGCGACAACTATAAAGTAGGCACAGAACTGACAGACGGTATTGAGACTTTCGGCGACATTGATAATCACTGGTTTGCCGTCCAAGTTCAAGTTAGCACACCTGCTGATCAATGAGCACTCCATTTATACGGCGAAACATATGTCACATGGAATACTATTGTACCTAACTACTTGTCAATGAAGCAATTCCACCTCCACCACACGTGCTCTCTGGTCTGGTCTCTGGTCAGGATTCTTTGACGTATTTATCGTGTCGTACTGATAATCTACATGTGCGTCCTTTGCAGGCTTTAGATACCAAGTGTCGTGCAAAATGTAGACACATGCTGCACATTCTACCACATAAGCAAGGTGTTCCGTCGAAACTTTGCGCAGTTTGCATACCAATTTGAGAGCATGCTGGAAGCCACACGGAACTCTCAAGCGAGTCCATACACCCACGGTGTATCATCTTGGGATTTTTTTAAATTCATTAGACAACCGCTATGAGGTATTCTGATCAGGCAAACCAGCAGAAACTAGCTCGGGTGCTTACATTGAATACTTCCGACTCGTATTAGCACCTGGTATAAGGTGGTGGATCACCACTTAACTCCCAAAAAGAATTTTGTTCTCTTTGTCCTTTTTTAAGCCAATTCCTATTCTTCATTGCAATTTTTCTAACAAGAGCCCGATGAAACTATAGTCTGGAGAACAGAGTTTCATCATGTGACCGCACATTTTATCAGTTGCAATTATGGAATCAGTGGTTAGAGCATCGCTGGCTACAAGCGAGGGTCCCTGGTTCGAGTCCTGGTGGTGACAGTCAATTTTTCCTTCAGACTTTTCCCGTTTGTCTCTTTCCCTCAACCCAGTTAATAAATTATGGACTTACTGAACAAAGACATCAGCCGACGGATACAAAGTCACCTCAAAGTAGCTAGAATTGACCGTAACACTAGGCGCTGCCGGTGGTCTGGGCACTACGCACAGAGCAAGAAACACACCAAAATAATAATTATAATGTGCCCAGCTGTCTCCAATGTTTTCAATCAAAAACAATCTGTTTAATCCATGGGAATGCATATGCTCTATAGGGATTCCCTGCTGTGTGGGAATGCCCCTGCTCTATGGCGATACCCATGCTCTATGGCGATACCCATGCTCTATGGTGATACCCATGCTCTATGGGATAACCATGCTCTATGGCGATACCCATGCTCTATGGGGATACCCATGCTTTGTGGGGATACCCATGCTCTATGGGATACCCCCCCCCCCTGCTCTATGGGGATACCCGTGCTCTATGGGGATGCCCATGCTCTATGGGGATACCCGTGCTCTATGGGGATGTCCATGCTCTATGGGGATACCTCTGCTCTATGGGGATACCCGTGCTCTATGGGGATGCCCGTGTTCTATGATTACAGGTGATGTCTATGTTCTATGGGAATCCCTATGCTCTCTGGGATGCCTAAGCAGTATGGGATGCATGCATGCCGTAAAGTCGCGGATAAAAGCCGGGCTTATAAGCACATAAGCCGCTTTCTGCATCAGGCTTTAATGCAAACCAGGCTTATATGCACCACTGATATTTTTGCCAGGCTTGTATGCATGCTTCTACGCGCGTAGATCTACCACTGACTACCGGTGTGGCGGCAGTTTTACTATGCACCGTACATAGCGCATGCACTCTTGACCTACCCGATCCGCGCTTGCATAGAAGCCAGGCTTCTACGCGCGACAGGCTTATATGCATTTGACCCGTTTGATTTTCAGGCTTCTATCCGCGATGTGCTTGTATGCAAACCCGGCTTTTATCCGCGACTTTACGGTATGCTAACGTCAAGCCAACTGTTACACATACGACCTGAATATTTCATACTTGGACCCTTTCTAACGATACATCTGAGTTCCTGGTCAGATCCACGAGCAAACGTTGAACAGCTTACCAATGTCACGGGACTCCAGGCTGCAGTTCACGGCCAGGGCTTGACCAGGAGAAGAGTGAGTTGGCACTAACTGGACATGGTAGACTGTGTACGGTTGTATCCTTCTCAGCAGCACACGGCTGAAGCCCTGTGCTGCACGCTCGGTCCCACTCGCCACATACGGGTCTGCAACGGCGCTGGATGTGCGGTAGAATGCCTACGGGGCAGAACACAAGCAGGCAGGTTAGGTTCACATCCTTGCAACGTTCCTGACGGGCTTATTGACGAACCGCGGTCGAGTATCTCCCAGCGTGCCACAGCGATACCATCTGGAATACCGGCGGATGGCATTCATGCAGTGTGATAAGAAAGCCCAATAGCTAAACGATGAGCACCAGACAGCAAACACATGAGTCCTGAACGTTCCAGCATTACAAATCATAACACAGTGTGAATGACAAACGGAACAGATAGAACCGAGCATACCTTGTAAACCGTGTCAGAGGGAAAGAGGTTTGCACTCCACACCAAATATAGCCGTTGTGAGTTAACCTCGCAGCGAACTGGGTTAACAGCTGCAGGTCAACAATTACATAATACACGTTGTATTATACACATCAGGGAATAATTTACTTTTGACTTTTTGCATAGCAATTTTGCTACGCAGAATCAAACTTGAATAGCAATTCGAAAATGTTGCATAGCGATTTTCTTTGACACTTGACAACATTGTCCTTCTGCAGAGCTGATCAGACCACAAATACACTGTAGCACCTTAGTTGCGAACCAAACGTGGTGCCAGGGTGCACTGATAGCTCAACACTTTCGAAGCTTTGTGCATCTATTTCATCCCTAGAGACACACCTGGCATGTACACTGTGCTTTATAGGCTACAGTGAAACATCAACATGCATATGCATCGCAGTTTCTGCATCACATTCCTGAAGTTGCTTCGCAAATCAGAGGAATTGCGTAGCAAACTGCGATGTGATACTGGTTAAATTATTCCTTGCACATTTGCTTGAGTATAATAGTACTACCAAAATTTCACCAAGCACAGCATACCAATGTGACACGGTGGCTCAACTGTGCGTAGACTGTTGTACATGAAAATAAGAACGGCCTAGGCTAGGAGACTGACTCTCCCAGTTCTTCGGCGCCCGGCAGTACTGCACAGCAGCATGGCCACTGTGATAGCCTACACATGGTCCTGGTCATTCATCATACCTGCCAAAGGGCCCGATTTGGCAGGGACCGTCCCGATATCGAGGGTGGTAATAGGCACCCAAAAGTGCATTTGTCGCATGCCTCACAGCTAGATTTAGATACATTTTCATACCTAGATATGTCATAGTCCCGATAATTATAAGGTTTGCAAAGCTTGGCAGGTACGACCCATGAAGTAATGTGGATTAACAAGCGGCTTAGGGCAACAGCTAGAATTACTCTTAGCACTCTTCCTCATTTCATTAAATCATGATTCAGTACATATAGTTTGGTGACTTCCCTGGACTGTGACTGTCCTGGCATAGCCCGGCATACCAACACAGCTACGTGCACTGTACAATGAACCCTCTTTGACACCGTGAGTACCGCCAGAGTGCATGCGTTAACTTACACTGCACAACTGTTCTGGCTCTCAGGTTGCTTTGGCCGCCATCTGCACCGCTCGTGTCCACTGGTGTTACTTCAATGAGATACGCGCTGGCGGCTGACAAGTCGTTTATTTCGACATGGAAGCGTCCCTGTTTCAGAAAGCGCTGGTCATTAGCCGGGTAGGAGTTCTTCCTGGGATTATGCCACCCTGGAAGAGATGAAGAGGTCAAGCCATGCCGAATGACCACTTTGTAGCTGGCAGTGGATGCTGCCAGGACCGATGGAGGTAACCAGCTGAGGCGCAGCGAATACGGCGTTGCCGCTTCAAGACGTATTTGTCGTACTGATGAGGGCGCTACAGATGGTGGCATGGAAAAGAGACATGTTTTTTTTCAGTTGCTCTGCATAATGATGTATTACTTAAGAAATTTTTAATAGCCTCCCCTTTCACTCCCTCTCCCACAGCTGAACCCAAAATTTGTTTCAAAAAGGGGTTTTGAATAGCAGAATGATCTAATGATATTCCCATGATAGTATTCAAAGATCATTCCAAGAGCATGATACTAAAGCTGCGCTTCAATGAAGTTTTTGAATTGCAAGTGAGCCACGGTTTCAATGAACCGCCATGGAGATATTCTGCATTAGCTATCAACTCACACTCTTCATCTCCCTCAAGTGCATTACCTCCTCTTGTGTAACCGTCAAGCAACATGATTTTACTTCAAATTATCAGATCAGGTCGCCATCATGCTTGCTCCATATGTCATGTTCGTCGGAAAAGGATCTCTGAAGCCGGGAGACATTGTTGCAGAGGAAGAACCTACCCCGATACTGTATGTGACCAGGGGTGACATGGTACTCGATTGAAGGCCCAGCCGGTGCCCATAAAGTATTAACTCATGGGGTCACCAGGAAGGCAAAGTATGGCCAGATTATCGTCGAACTTGAGAAGGATACCAATGACATGCTGAAAGGCCTGGTGAACGTATCGCTATCAGTACGCCGCGCTACACAAAGCGCACGGGTACTAACGCACTCCCCAAGAAGCAGGGAACATCTGAAGGTGACTTCTTCAATGCAATGAACTGACAATCCATGCACATCCCTAAGTAGTGAACAGTGGGTCTTTTTTCATGACCCCACTCACCCTCCCCAACCCCTTCTTCACCCTCTCAGCCTCTTCCTCCCTCCCTTAACTTAGCCTCTAACTCACTCTCTCGGCCTCTCCCTCCCTCTCTCGGGGGCCCTCCCTCTCTCGGGGGCCCTCCCTCCCTCTCCCTCCCTCCCTCTCCCTCCCTCCCTCTCCCTCCTCTCCCTCTCTCTCTCACGCGTGCACACACACACACACAAACACACACACACACACACACACACACACACACACACACACACACAAGAGTAGTACTTACTGCAGTGTAATTCCTGCATACCAGCTGAAAGTGCCCAGTTGCCGTGGGAGTTGCATTTCAATGCTTGACGCTTGCTGGTTGCCTCGTGGGCTCCCTGGCATCGTACTGTCACGTTGGACAAGCAACCGTGAATGGACTCCTGGTCGAGCGCCGAGACAAGGACTGTCCCCACCGAAAGAGGAATGTCCTGCCCTTGGCACGTGACTCCTGCAGTAACATTCAAACACAGCAATACAGAGCACAGCTAAACTGCACATGCCATGATGGTACCAGTATGCTCTGAACCTTCTGCACCCCTGACTGCATGGCTAGTTCCGGTGCTTTGGTGTTTGGTGGCTGAACTGCAGGGTCATGAGTTCAAACCCACTGATCTTCAAAACCTCAAAAAAAAGTGCTTTCGTGCACCTGCCATTGGGCTCCTGTAAGTAGTCCAAAAGGCCCGCGGGATACGCCGAGGTAAAACGAATGATTTGAGCGGTAACGTACTTTTTAAACTGCACGCAAGGAGAGTGCACAATACTCACTCGTACATGCCATCCCAGCATAATTGTAAAGGCATCAGCCTTTGCCTATTCCCTTATAGAAAAGGCACGGGAATAGAATTCCAACCAATACATCGAGTATTGACCAACATAATAAGAAATCAGAGGCCACATGCCTCATGTACTTCAAAAAAGTAAGCCAGTAATAAACATATGATGAAGAAAAAAATAAGCTTTTTAACATGTTGGGTGGTAACCAGGTATGATAACTTTATTCCCGTAGCTATGTAGAAGACGTTACTTCAGTAACGTCTGGCGCTAGCCAGGGTCCACACAGCTTTAATTTGGTGTTGTTTGTTTGTTTGTTTGTGTCACGCCTGGCGCTATCCCGTATCTGTCCCGTACCGCATCGCACCATCAAACACAGCTGGCCATTTTCTGGCTCCCGTATCTGTCCCGTACCATACCGTACCATCAAACACAGCTGGCCACAAACAGCTGGCCACAATATTGGTCGATTATGTACATGTATACGACTGCCTGTGTGTTGCAACTGTGCTTGAAGGGGACGGTTGCACTTTTTGTAGCTCCGTTTTATCTGAGTTTTCAGTCGTTCCTCTTACTAGTCTTGCCAAGGGGGTGGCTCTGGGTCCACCAGAGTCGTCCCTGGCGTGTTTCTGAATTTGCTGGGGCGAGGGTTCCGCGACGCGGTCGCCAAGGCAGTGTCTTTTCAGTCACGACCGTTGTCGTCCTCGTCTCTCTATTCGCGGTGGTGTAGCTGACCCCCGAATGGTTTCAAACTGCGAAGCTCGGAGGAGTACAGTGGTGGCAGAGCGGCATGAGCTGTGAGTGGAGACGGTTGCTGGAGATGGATGGTGATGCAGGGAGAAGAGTTACGCTGCCTGACGACGCGTGGGAAATTGTTTGAACCTGCAATTTCAGTTCGAGCGCGGTGGACTTCTAGACGATGTGTCCTCATGGCTGTTTTTCAAAGCTTGGCCTATCGCTGATATCCCTGCGTGGGATGTTCTTCCAGTGGAGTCCAGGTGGGACTTCGGGTGCCCACACTCCATCACCTGGTTAATTGTTTCGGAACTGCAAAAATAATTATTGTTTCCTTTTTTGTGCGCATCTCTTGTCATCTCTCTTTTCTATACGTCGCACACCAGATGTACTACTATCGCTGTCTTTCTCTTGCTATCTCTCTCTGCTTGCTGTTTTTTGTTTCTGTTGCCACTGTCCCTCATCATACCCATGCTCGGGTGGAGGGCGGCGTGACCTGTTAGGGTAGCTGTCAATACAGTACGACTCCCTGATGTATAGGGAGACTTTCTGGAAAGAAATAGGGAGACGAGGAGGAAATGAAATTAGAATGGACGTTAGTTGCCGAATAGGTGATAGGATGCGTCAGCAAAAACATACTTTGGAAGAGAGATCCCGTTGCCTCCAAAATAGGTGTGAACGGGCGAGTCAGCGCCGGTCACAGGAAACGTCGGGAGAGAGATCCCGTCGACTCCAGAACGCCCATGATCGGCAGAGTCAACGCCGTCCCAGGAAACATTTCCATCAGTTCCCACAACATGCACGATGAGCTTAGGGCCGGGTTCCACTGCGGCTCCGCGGCTCCGCTGCTCCGCGGCACTTGGCTGCATGCAGCGGAGCAGCGCGGTTCCACTGTCACTCGCCATTCGCGGTACCGCGGTCGTGGTCCACACTTTTTGATGACGTTTCACCTGCCTGCGCGCGCGAAATCAAACAAATCCTCGTGTTCTGGCCTGCGCAACGAATTAAAATTTGAATTTTAAAATTCTGGCGTACAAAACAATGCAAAGTACGGGAAACAGGTTGAGCCGCGACCGCGGCTCGCAGTTTTTGGTCAAGAATCGTAGCAAAAGCTCGCGGTGAGCCGCGGACTCGCTGCTCCAGCTCGAGCCGCGGTCACTATGGTAATGATGACGTTTCAAGCCGCGAAAGACGAGCAGCGGGGCAGCGGAGCCGCAGTGGAACCCGGCCCTAAGCAACAAAGCATAGCGTAGGGCCCTGAGCTTCCAAGCTCTCTCGTAAGCCATTCTCATAATTCACTTACGTTGACACGTTGGCGGTGAGAATACTTGCTCCGATCGAACGCACACGTCCTGCCTGGCGGAACCCACTGCTAGTTTGTAGCACTCGTCACAGTCATACGTGAACGCCTGTCCCTTGCAGAGGCTGGCGTTGTGGCCGGTCAGGAAGGTGACGCTGCCATGCAGCGGTGCTGAAGGCAGCTGGCAACAGGGATTCTCAAGGTCGACTAATAGTGGATAGAGAACACATACAAGAAAGAACGTGTCATCAGCAGTGTTACCATGGTTATTGTGGGCACATGCATTTCAGTCAAACTGATTATCTGAATGCATCAAACAGGCAAACTGGTCCAGGATGACTCTGATTCCCAGTCAAACTGGCCCGCCATGGTTTTAGACAATCCCACTCTAGCTGCTTGCCGCAAAAATGGGAACAAATGACCAGGGTTCAGCCACTCTTGACCGCCATTACTTGCACTTCTGCTTGAAGTATCGGGTATACAGTCATGGAGCACCACTCACCCACACATCTAAAACGGGTATGCAGTCATGGAGCGCCACTCACCCACACATCTGAAGCGTTCGACTCTTGGCTTCCAGCGACCATACTTGCAGGTCAGGAGAAAGTCTTTGTTGATGGTGAGCTTGTAGCCAGGCTTGCAGGCCGCACGGATCCTATCGTTCAGCAGATAGTTCTTCTTGACTTTCTGTTCCATAAATATAGCATGGCGTGGAAGATCAGGTGTCCTGCAGCGAGCTGTTGGTAATGTAGCAAAAATAGTAATCGAAACACATGCTATCACACTCAGACAAAGGAGATACTTCAGGCTCCTTAAGAACATCTCAAAAGTTTTCTGTTTCACTGGTATACTTTCAAGCCTTATCGTCAGGTGAAATACAGAAAAAGTCAAATGAACGAAGACAATGGATTTTATACAGCAGAGAGGTGCAAGGAAGAAGAACCAAAACAACAATGAAGAATGGGTGTGACATACACATAGAACTAAATGGGGAAAACGTGGGTGCAAACGTGAGGAAACGTACCAAGCGAGAAGTGTGGTGCGACAAAAACAGACCGCGGCACCAGATGGACATAACTAACGAGTTGTTGATGACCTACCTAACAGCCCAAGCGAAACAGCCTAAGTGTGAATTTAATCTGCTTCTGATTTAAGTACATAAGTCAGGTTTCTTAGTGTGAAGAATATACACAGCTTCCAAAACATTCAACAACTTTGCACTTGGCCATTGCCAGCCACTGGCCGTGCAACTCTATTGCTGTGTGCTGTGTTGTATGGGTGGAGCACAAAGACCACATCTACCGTATCATCATTCATTTGACCATCATAACACAAGCCACACCATCGACTTCTTTTGGGTGAATCACAAGTGTTTAAAGTGCGGCGTTTACTCCCGGAAATTACGGTACCTAGTTTGCATACATACAATGAACCTGGCAGTTGGCCAACACCCCTGCATACATGGCATTCTCAGAGCGGCATGTGCATGCGTCAGTCCCATTGCTTACGGACACATTGGTGAGGCATGGGATCGGTCCACTTGCCACCTTTGCACTGCCTCCGCCATGGGCCGACGCGCTTGAAGCCTTTCTTGCAGCGTAGCTTGACGTAGCCGTCTTCTTCCTTCACATAATAGCCGCCGTGCGGTGGGCTGAGCCTGCCACAGCCTGCGCATCAATTAGCACCATCAAAAAGGCATTTACTATGTTAGCGTTATGTCCATCGTTAGTATTGAAATGGAGCTATGAGTGTACACTTACATCGGACACCATATCTCAGCACAGCCCCTGACTATCTACGTCACCTGTTCTGTGCTGTGGCAATGCACACTACAAATAAATATTATGATCTTTGTGTAGGCTTGCTCAAGTCCTGACCCAACCAAAATCCTGCACTGGCTGCCTTGGTTATGTACTTCAAAGTACACTGCGTACCGGGCCTGTGAACAGTGAAGAATGTGCCCAGTACATCAGATTCTTTATCGACTTCAGTGTCTGCTCTAGGATTGTAGGACAGCCGGGTACACGTGTACCTGGCGGAACCATTTCAACCGGGTCGGAGCCGGGTACACATGTACCTGGTTGGTTGGTTTATTTTAATTCGGACAATAAACGAGAACTAGGCCCAATGATATAAGGGCGAATGGATAAGCCGCATTTAGAAAAGAGAGGACAGGAATTAGAAAATTATGAAAGAAGAAGAAGTATCTGACACTACATACAAGCCATGTAGTCAGTCCTTTCAAAGTTCGAAAGTGTAAAGTACCAACCGGGCCAGAGGTGACCCGGTACTATATTTTCAACCGGGTCCAAGCGCCGCCCAACCGGGTGGATTACCCGGCTCACCCGGCGCTGGAGCAGACACTGGACTTTCTATTTCTAGGGGAGAACCCCACTGAAGTTCCCGTTTTAGTTCGCTTTACCCAACCTATTGGAAATTGCTTCGCCGGTGTCTGTGGTGTACATCTCATTCTCGGGTCACGGTCTTACACACCAAACACAAATTGCACATCAGGTACAATGATGTGCAAGGAACTGACACGCACACGTGACACACATACACAACACACACACACACACACACACATGCACACACACACACACACACACACACACACACACACACACACACACACACACACACACACACGCCTCCCCCACACACACACACATGCACATACTCACACACACACACACACACACACACACACACACACACACACACACGCCAAACACGGGGGGGGGGGGGGGGAGGGCAATGTCGGAGACTTACTTCCCACCAGCATGAAGCAACGGTTCACACCACAGCGTGAATCGCATGAGCAGACCCAGGAAAGTTGATTTGTCAGACTGCAGTCACTGGAACTGCAACAGGTGGCATCCGAACAGTTGATCCTGTTGCTGGGAACTGCATGTCTGCTGTCCACAGAACATGTGGACACCTTACTGTTCTTGATCCAATTCAGGAAGCGCCCAGAAGCTAAACAACGATACAGTGGATACAAGGTGATCAATACCAATGGGAGAAAAGACGACCGGTATGGAACACCTGGGCATCGCAGATCATTGAGCCATGCAGTTCAACCATGTACAGTGCATGAGCAAGGATCTAAGAGACCTTTTTTCTGTATGTATACTAGCCGCCATGTGTGCTGCTGCCACGCTTCAAGGCTGAAAGCGCAGCCATTGAGCAACATCACTCTGTCTTGTTCTTTAAAAGACACAGATTGTAAAAGAGCCACATGGCTGGGTAACGTGAGCCATGCAGAGACATACACTACCACAGTCAGGCTATACCACAATCAAACAGTCCACTATAAAGAAGTGCCCTGGATAGAACAAGTTTCTCTAAGTTGCAGCAAGTTTGCAGTACTTCGAAGTAGATTTAAAGCACTTTTCTGAAGGCCCCGGTTGCGCATTCTTTTCCAGTCATGGGACGTGTGATAAAGTGTACCTCGCCTATAAAGTACTGATTTGTATGTCCCTTGACGGGAAATGTATGTATCTACTTAGGCAACATATCCTCGCACGTCAAAAGACAATATTGCTATGCTGAAGTTTCACTGCTCTGTGAAGCATTCCTTGCACTGGCCACATGTGGATATTGATGGGTATGATACGGTGAGAAAAAATTAATGAAGCATTCGAAATTCGAAGCGAGTTCCTTTAGATTCCCAATGTGGATTTCAATAATTTTCAATTGGCATGAAATGATGAAACACATCAGTTTAAAATTTCATTACAGGCAGCAGGCCATTGATCATTTCTATTTCATAAAGCCATCCCACACCTGTAAACTGTCCAAGACTACAGCTGTGCATGCGTGTGCTAAAGATACTTGCTCTGGTACGAGTACAAATGCAAACACACGCACACACGCACACCTCCCTTACCTCGTCCCTGAGCCACAGTCGGGCAGCGGCGAGCAGCTGAGCATTCCCATGGCAATAGCAGGCCAATCAGCAGCAGCAGTAGGAGCAGGACGACTGATGTTTGCAGTGACACCCTGGCTGGTTGGCAGTGACGACGACGGAGACCTGAGAAGACGATCAATAACCAAGAGCACGGAGGAATGAGGAGGGGGAGGGGGGAGAAGGTGTATGTCGGTGGCAGTGCACCAAACATTGCTCTACAGCACAGTCATGCACATGTACTATGCACATTCATAATACACTGACCCGTATCTCTCTTATCCAGACCTCAACGTGACGGGCACCTCGGTCTACCGGACGGCGGCCTGTGGGTGATGTTTAGTTGAAGTAGTATTGCTACTCTTCTGCCAATGTCTGTTGAAATAGTCACTCCAGATCTCTGGCTCTTCCTCATTGAAAGCCTTTAAAAGGTATGTGATTCAGAGTTATGGACACTTCAAAGCTATGAGCAGTGCCTGGTCCCCCCCCCCCCCCGGACCGCCCTGATAAGAGAGATAATCACAGTATGAGTCTACTATGACCCCCCCCCCCGCCCCCCAATTGAACAGGCTACAGTAGTATGATGTAGCTAAAGAGGCAAGACTAAAAGTAAGTAAAGGCATTATTTTGACGACTTTCATACAATGTGTGTTGTGCAAGCCTGATTGTCTGTTGCCATTGGTATGATTGATACCGCTGCTGCTGTTACAGGGTAGGGTGAGTGCACTTTGTCCACTAGTGCATAGAAGAGAGGCATAGCTGGAGACCGGCAGTGTTTGTAGCTCCACTGGCAGATACATGTCGTGACCATGGTGACAGGCATATTATGATGAGTTGCAACCTGAGCCTAGGTGCATCAGTGCTGTTTTGATTTCAAGTTCTGTTATTTTTCTCCTCTGACATTGCTTTCTTCATTTTACTTCCTCAGAGAGAAGAGAGAGAGAGAGAGAGAGAGAGAGAGAGAGAGAGAGAGAGAGAGAGAGAGAGAGAGAGAGAGAGAGAGAGAGAGAGAGAGAGAGACCTATTCCAAAAGCGTGCTATCTCACAACGGACGTGGAGCCCCTGCAGCATACCTGTAGCTGTCTTACTTCGTACTGCTGCAGGCCGCCACTAGCACTGCCCACTATTAACCTGAACAAAGGCACTTGATACCTGACTGAACTAAGTTAGTTACTTGTAAGTTGTAATGAGAGCGGTGGCCGTGTGTGTCACAGACTCAGTGTTACTGCTATCCACCCATTGCATCACACGGCTTTAGCCAGCGTAGCTGATCCACTAGCTCCACGAGACATGACAAGTATGTTTACGGGAGAAAACACGAAAGCACTTGTAGGCAGGATCTAGGAGGGGCCTCCTCCGGCGTGCGAAACTAATTTCGGCGAGTGGAGTATGTCTCCGTGTGTTCAGGCAATGAATACATAAACTCTGTGTACGTGTATAATACTAACACTAGTAACAGTCCACTCCGACCTGTGCCCAGCAGGACATGGTCGAGCAGAGTAAATCACCCGGCTTACCTGTTCGCGAATCCAAGGGCATGGTGCCGAGTCCGAAAGCGTCCACTAGCGACCCGCCAGTCGGCACTTGTTGTTGCAGTCCGCCCTGCGCCACCACCAACCAGCAGGGTGCCGTGCGCAGCACAATGTTTAGCCTTCAGCCAAGTCTGGGATCAGCCTCTATCTCGTCCATCAGCCCGCGGCCATGCCACGCATAGGGCAGGGGCAACCGCCGCTCTTACGCATGGTCGATCTACGAGTCTGGCATGCAAACCACGAAAGACCTGAGAAGCGCGATGATACGGCCTTCCACCGCCACAATAAACCCTGCAGTGGACGGAATGCTCCCTGAAGAAGTCGACTTGACTTCGTCGTGTGTGTGCTGACCGACTGATTTCCCACTTCGCACCACTACTGGCAGTAACTCTTCCCCAAGACGGTACAGACCTGAGTAGTATTGCAGTTCTGGCTCAAGTCAAGACCTGCGAGTAGATTAGCAAGCACGAGTAACCGAGTAAGGCTGTAATCGTACAGACAGTAAACCCACGCGGATTCCGTAGTAAACAAGCAGCACTTGCACAGCATGCATAGAGCCGGAGGACAAGAATGCTAAGTAAGTAAGTTGACTGCGTCCTAAACAACACGGCCTCACGAGATCCGGTACCCTGGCTCTCGAAAGCCTCTTGGCTCTTTTCTTCTGATTCTTGAAGGAGTGGTCTGGGGAGAGAGAGAGCGTGTGAGAGAGAGTAGCGGCGCTATCTAATCCTCCTGAATCAATCACACATCTATTGCCGTAGTAGTGTACGGTACAAGTAAAGGTACCTCTTCTAGATGAACTGTTGTCAGTGTTATGTTGCGCAGCACGGCGAAGGGTCATCGTAAAATCTAATGGCCGCAAAATTTCAGCACGTCCAGGCTACAATCATGACAATGGTAGCGCCTTTAGCTTTGTCAATGCTCTTACCATTTTTGCTTACGGAGAGGCGGTAATCATCATGATCATGGTGACGCACGAGCTGTAGCCAGTGTAGGTGAGCTTGCCATTACACTAGTGCCAAGTAGTGGCAGTAGTGCTCCATTTCTATTGTGATACCCAGACCGTGTACCATGGTGTACCGCGTTCAGTGTCCATGTACTGCCCATCTACACCTGTCCTCATTATTACATTTACAGCTGTATTATGACACAAGGACATGTAGAGGTCTAGGGGGTCAGCAAAGCCTACAGTAACATGATCGTTGGACAGACCACAAAAGATGAGTTGCCTGGATGGAGACGGTATTCGTTGCACGGGTAAATCAATCCTGGCTGGTAGTGGTAGTGGTAGATCCACGGGCCTACCGTCTCCCTGCCAGCACGGTCTCTGCCAGGCCAGGTCAGGCCCAGGGCCAGGGGAGCATGTCAAGGTCAGATCTAGCCGCCAGGGACTCTCTGGCTCCGCACGATGTCTACCAGTGAATTTGTACCAACCCGGCCGCGCAGGATGTAGCCAGTGCACCAGCGACACCACGTGTCCCCTTCACTGGCGCTAGGCTTCAGTTCAGACAAGACAGTAGTTCAGTCATCTGCACGTGTCAATGCCTCTGTCGGCTGCGGAGAGCATTTCTGCACACGTGATGCCTCGTGGAGAACATTCCACTCGTTGCTCACCTACATTCTCCTGTATTCCTGTCTTGGGCTAGCGGAGTAGCGCTGACAGCGACAAGTCACCAAAACAGAATCTTAGGGCAAATCATTCTCTTAAAAAATTTAATGATTATGTTTTAGAAAGTACAGAGTCACCTCCATCAAGCGAACTGGGAGTAAGACTGTCGAAACTCCCTCACAGGACCCTTCCTAGCATTAGTACTTCCGCCAAACAGGCACGTGCATGATTGTGCAGTGTAGCTTCGGCAAGAACACAGGAGTCATGCGAACGTCAGGACCCCACTTGCTAGCCAAACGGTATGATAATGTTGTCGCTTACAGCTTGCGGAAGTATTGGGTTCAGTTGGCTGCGATGTGATCTCAAACACGCTTAAACACGGCATTTAATTGCTGATCTGAAAAGCTGAAAGCGTTTTGATCTGCACCGCAGGATTGCTGATACTTCCATCCAATCTATCCAGCACGTCGTTGTCTTTCAAGAATAGCAACACGATGTACCAGCCCTGCTGTACAGCCAGCAGATCTATACGTCGCACGTCACGGTCACAGTAGGTGACAAGATTTTCTAAACAGTAATATTTACATGTACTAGAAGTAAGAACTATTTTTGAAACTATTAAACATTGTTACTTCCTGTTTCATGGCTGGTACAAACCGTGACCTAGGAAGCGAAGAGTTACCAGTTGTTGGCAGTCGATCTAGTGTGAAGTGACATCCACTGATCCAGTCA